AGACCTTTTGAGATGAGCTTGCAATATACAATCAGAGGGCGCAGCTTCAGTTGACGCCGAAGTACTGGTTGCAGAAATTCGTGGAGAACGTCAATCATGATCACGAAGGATGGATTGGCCCTTACGAGATTGATCAGTCGAAGAAGGAGAAGCCAGTGAAGGAGATGAACTATGAGATGAATATCAAGTATTATCTGCGGGTGCGTGGCTATGGTCAGTCGTTCAGGATGCCGCAGGAGTTCATCAAGAGAGGCTGGCGGAAGACGGTGTTTGCTCGGCCCAAGGATGGCGACCACGATGAGTGGCGCCTGTTGGTGCAAGATGTTCCCGCGAAGATGCGGGTGGACTATCCGAAGGATAGCATTGCTGTGGTGCTCTTGCAACCACCGATGGCCGAAGTTGAAAAACGAGCAAAGGGGAAGTCGCGAACAGCCAGCGTAGTCACAGGTGCACGCAAAAGCCCCCCATTGAGGGAATGTACGGTGCTTTCTCCTTCAAGTGATTCATCGTTGGAAGCAACAGCTTTGATGGCGATTGGTGAAAGCCACAAAGGAACCATGAGCAAGGGACAGAAGAGGGAATTCGTGAATGGGCTTCGCACCATGAATGAGAGGGATGCCGATTTGCAGTATGTTCTGGGTAAACGGGACATGCCGTTGGTTTCCCCGGTGCACACCGTTCTCATTACATCGGATGGTCCATGTTGCCGTACTCATGGGATCCAATGTGTGTCGGTCGGCAAGGACGCCCACAGGGCTGACCTGGCAGCCATCAAGAAGGAGCTCGACAAAGGCGGCGCATGCACGGCTGTTGTGGCCATTGAGTACTCTGACTGGTCAACTTCCTTGAATCACTCGGATATCATGGACATGGTGATTTCGCATTGCGAGTTGGTAGGAGGAAGATATTTGGAAGTGGATCTTGCAGAGACAAACAGGTGGTCGCAGCACTCCATTCATCTCTATCCGGATTTGTGTGTTTCAGACGTGGGGTATGTTACCAACGACATTTTGCTGGGAGAAGCACATGGGTGAGTATGAGTTACCCGTCATATGTGCCCATCCTTCCTGGACTTCCTGAGCGAGAAGGCACATGAGGCTTCGGCACAGGACATGTTGTCGGTTGGTTTCCCCGTTGAAATGCAAGAAGATGAGCAGGAAGAGGCAGTCACCTTTGACATGCCGGATGATCCTGATTCGGATTCACAGAGGGATGAAGTGTTCAATCCTGTGTTGAAAGGAAATGCGGAGATGGCGGAATGGGAAGTGCTTGATAGCATTGACATTCCGGATTTGCCAGCCAAGGAGCAAGAAAGGAGGAAAGCCTGGCGGGCGATACCGCAAAAGGTAAGGGTGGCAGTGCGACGCTTGCACAGGCAGTTTGGCCACCCGGCGCCGCGAACGTTGGAGAGCTTGTTGCGAAGCGCGAAGATCGCAAAGGTTTTTCATCGAAGCACTCAAACTGCACAGATGCCCAGATTGCGAGAACAGTGCGCCGAAGAAACCCACACACAAGACCATGTTGCCGCACAGGTACAAATTCAATCACACCTTGGGGATAGACTTGTTTGACGTGTCGGATGCCAAGGGGGACAAGTATTTGGTGCAGAACATGTTGTGTTGTGGCACAACTTTTCAGCAGGTGAAGGCCCTAAGAAAAGGGAAGGGGCAAGCTTCAACTGCAGAATGTTTGAGAGCATTGGATAAACGTTGGTTCGCCTGGGCAGGACATCCGTCAGAGCTGGTGTCGGACCGAGGATTGCACAACCGAGGAGTTCTGGCGAAGTACATGTCGGCGAATGGAATCCAAGTGTTTCACGCTCCGTTGCAAACGCCTGAAGCCATTGGACGTGTGGAACGCCATGGGGGAGTCATCAAGGCAATGTATAGGAGAGTGTGTAGTGAGACACAACCGGTCGGCATTGATCAGGTGAACCAAGTGCTGACGCAATGTTGCCGGATCAAGAACTCCATGCACAGAGTGGGCGGCTACAGCCCATCACAATGGGTTCTTGGTACATGCCCGAGAGGAGCACCTAGCTTCATGGATGAAGAAGGTTGGACCGACCTTGGAGCGATTGGGGACAGGATTGATCCCGATTCCATCTTTGCACTTCAGCACAAAGCAAGAATGGAAGCAAAGAAGGCATTCGTAGAACTCGATTGCAGCAAGCGCGTGCACAGGGCGTTGCTCAGGAACGCGCAGCCGATTTATGAGAACTACGAGGTCGGGGACAGCGTGTGTTTTCGCAGAGATTTCATGGGGAAGACCCAATGGAGCCCGGCAAGCAGAGTGATCGGAAAAGAAGGTGACAAGAAGGTTTGGGTGTTGTGTGAAAACATCCCAGTACTTGTTGATGGGAGAAATCTGAGACCGGCCAACATGACATTGTGCCAGAGGAGATCATCAAAGAACACGGGCAGCAGGCGTTCGAAGACGCGAGTCAGGTCCCAGTTCGCGAAGGTGAAGTTCCAAGTGACCCGGAACCGGAAGAGACTGAGGGATCCGGATTGCCGAGAATCCCGGAACATGGGTTGCTTGAAGGTGAGGATGAGCCTATGAGGGCTGCGAGGACACGGGATGCCGAAATCGCAGGCCGAAACGTGAGGCCGCGAGTTGAAAGAACATCTCCTGTTTTGGAGCCAGATCCTGAGAGAGGGACGCTTGGCAGTGAACCGCAGTCCAGACGCACGAGCGCACAGTTGTTGGATGATTTGCCCGAATCCATCAGGAGCCACTTTGAGCAGATGAGTGGGCAACAGAGTGCGAGCTCGGAGGACGCAAACATGACTGCCAATGTGGCGTCTGGCCATGTTCATGTGAGTAGAGAGAAGTACGTGGCATTCATCGCAGATAGGGTTAGTGAGACAGAGAACGCACAGAGAAACAAGAATGCGGTGCAAGAAAGGTTGCTCGTATATGACGAAGCAAGTGAGGAGGTGCAAAGTGCATTGACAGAGGCCAGAGCGGCCGAATGGGAGAAATTCCAGAAGTTCGGAGCAGCTGTTCCCATTGACGGAGAAGAACTGAGAGGTCTGTTGGATGCAGGTCATGTTGCCATTCCATCAAGATGAGTCGAGGTTGACAAGAACGATTTCCAGAGAGGTCAGCCTGGGTATAAACCCAAGTACAAGAGCCGTTTGGTGATATGCGGAAATTTCGAGGGTCGTGAAGGACTTCGAGGTGACGCACCAACTGGTGACGTCGAGGCTCACCACATAGTATGTGCTTGGGCAGCAGCTCATCAGGTGGCGGTGAAGTCCTGTGACATCACCAGCGCATATGTCCAAGCCCGAGAGCTGGATCGCGTGTTGCTCATGCGACAGCCACGGGGAGGACTTCCGGACGTTTCCCCAACGGCGTATCTACTGGTTAGGAAACCGGTCTATGGCTTGACTGACAGCGGTCGAGGTTTCTGGTTGCAGGTGAGTACGGATGCAGCGGCATGCGGGTTGACATCGAGTAGGATTGTTCCTGCGTTCTATTACCATGTTGCGGATGGCAGAGTAGATGCAGTGATGACCACTCACGTGGATGATTTCTTGTATGCCCACACTGAAACCGGAAAGGTTACGATCGAGAACTTGTTGAGCAAGTTTGTTGTCGGAAGCAGCGAGGAAGGCAATTTCAGGTATTGCGGAAAGCGCATTAGCCAAGAAAAGGGTAGCTCGATCAAGATCGACGTCGATGACAACACTAGGAAGCTGAGCATGATCAAGATCGAGGTAGGCAGAAAGTTGACCGATGCAGTAAACCCATTGGAACTGTCGCAGTTGAGGTCAGTGGTTGGATCTCTTTCGTGGATTGCCAGACAGGGACGCCCTGATCTTTTGTACAGGACGTCGAGGTTGCAGTCTTTGACCAAGGCAGCCACTGTGGCTACCTTGAAGGAGGCCAACAAGACCGTCGAGCTGGCGTTGGAAGGCATTGGGTCGAGTCTGTAGTTCCATGCGGGAAGACTTGACTGGCAAAATGTCGGTATTCTGACAGTCACGGATGCGTCATTTGCAAATGAGGAGAACCATAAGTCACAACAGGGGCGTTTCCATTTCTTGGTATCCAGTGAACAGGCAAGGGATCAGAATTGCGAGACGTTTGATGTAGTGCCTTTGGGATTTGCATCGAGCACGATAAAGCGAGTCTGTCGTACAACTATGCAGGCAGAGACGTATGCATTGCAGAATGGGATTAGAGCGGAGACAAGCTCCGAGCAGTGATATGTGAGACACAGTGACGGTTGCAGAATTTGACTGGTTGGTACGAGACTATCAAGAAGTACGTCCCGCACACATACTTGAGTGATTGCAGATCACTTGTGTCCCATTTGAAGACAGAGGTTCCACCGAAGATAGCAGACAAGAGACTATCTATCGAGATAGCAGCCATCAGACAATCATTGTGGAATGAAGACGGAACGCGTACAGCAGTATCATTTCCAGAAGGAGGAGATCGGATTCGCTGGATTGCAACTGCTACAATGGTTGCGGACTGTTTCACGAAACCAATGAAGGCGGACTTCATGTGGAAGGTGATCAACACTGGAGTTTATGAGGTTGAAACAGATCCGAATGAGAAGTCGTGAGAACAATGTGACAGAGTGCCACATCTTTTTTTTGCTGTGAAGCGGTTCAACACCTGAAAGCAGGTTGAGTGTGAATTCTCCCTGTAATTTGTATAGATTGAAGCCAGGGTGTTGAACATGTTGTGCATGACCGGGCCATTCTGGTACGAGGGCCCTTGAGTCATAGCGCTCGAAGCGAAAAGTAAGAGCCCGATTTGCTTGCTACATTCACAGCCTGTTTACCAAGCCCAGAAAAGGAGTACCCTGAACAAAGATATACAGTCTGTCCCAGAGGGTCCCTTGGTACCTTCTAAGGATGTACTGAACGACCCCTTTTTAGCCCCCAAAAGCCATCCTCATGAGGTACTAAGGGACGCTCTGGGTGAGCGTTGGTCAGAGAGAGCGGCCTGGATTTCACGGCTCGGCCAAAAGCGGCAAGGCAAGTACCGGCGCTTGAAGATCCTGTGGAACCTTTTCCAGGCGGAGGGAACTTCGTTGGAGATGTCGACCCCGGATGAATGAAGCCCTGTTTCTTAATATGGGGTGGGGGGCCCTCCAAAAGTGGTCTGAGTCGCCCCCCATATGAAAAAAACAGAGGTTTTTCTATCCGGGTTGAATTTAGATTTCGCCCTTGTCCCTTACATCGTCGATTTTTTCGGCATGTCCTGGCAGTAGAAAGGGCCAAAGCCGTTTGTTCACTCACGTTGAAGCGGCCGGAATGGAGAGCAAGGACGCGTTCTGCCGAGCGTGATCTCCCTTTGCCCGGCCAGCCGTTCAGTTACAGTTTCTCGTCCTTGGCTTAGGCCGTTTTTCTGGTGGTCAAAGTCGGCAACAGTCAGGGCATTTCAGGGCCCCCCGACGACCCCAACCAAATGGTAGCGATTCGACCAAAAGAAGGTTACTGGTTTGTCTTTGGGACTTTCGGTTTTCTTGCGGAAGTTGGTGTATTTGGAGGTTGACAATGACTGAGTGAAGTCGGCAATTTAGCAACACGTGAAGCCCGTTTTGGAAGCCTCCCTTCAGGTACGTTGAAATCCCTCAACTATGGCAATTGGTGGCTAGGAAGACCCTGTAATTCGCGTTAATTTTGGGGCTGGTCTACGTGCTACGCATATTTACGGAGTCAGCTATATATTGAGTCGCCGCACTTTTTGCATGGCCAGGGCATGATTGGCAGCGGCCGGATTCTGATTTATACGGTGCTCATGACGCTCGGCTAAGAGTGCAACCTGCTTTGAGTTGTGGAGATCATCCGCCTCCCAAGTCGCTGGTGGACAGGAATCCCCACAGTCTGATGTCCACCGGTTCGGGTCCCCTATGAAAATGTTCATACCCAGTGGAAACCAGCTTTATATGCATCGTTCTTTGCATGTCGGCACTGGGAAGACCAGGCGAACATGGTTCGGCTCGCGGCTCGCGTGTCGACGATGTTCTCTAGTGGCGCGTATGTGCACAACATGGTTGACCAAATTCTCGACCCGCCTTCAAGTCGATACACTATGATGTCTTTCTCGGGTTCCACTTGCTCTACGGTGCTGATTCTGAAAGTTTGTACCCAAGAAAAGGCCAACTGAGCACACAATGCTCTACACATCTTTGCCCGAGGTTTATATCTGAAGGCCCAGACTGTTCCAGACCTGGTGTTCTTTGGGGCCTGAGGTGTTTGCAAGCATGTATGTCGCCTGCAGCTGAAGCCAAACAAACTCAGTGCATTCAGGTTTCATACAGGAAGCCTGGCGTGAAATCTTTGCACCATCTAGATTACACTATCTAGATCCTGCCGTTTTTTTTCTTCCCTTCTTAGGTGGGATAATCGTGCTTTAAGCACTTCTTTGGAGTCCGTCCCTATTGACTATAGTCGCTCTCTATTGACGTACATATTGTAGATATTTGTTCTTTGCATATACATATATATATATATATACGTGCATGGCGTGCATATGGTTTTCATTCTGTTCGTGCGGCCCTGAAGGGGGAGATCCAAGCCGCCTGGGATTCTCACTCGCTGGGAATGCACAAGGTTTCTGCACCAGGGTTATCAGACATCACATGTGGCTTCGGGACACCAACAGGAGGCTGTCACCGTGAAGTTTGACTTGGTTTTAAGATATGGGTGTGTCTTTTTGTTCGGGGTTCCCCAACAAATGATGATTTTTAACTGGTGGTTTCTCTTTAAAACCCCTAATTGGTTTGGTTTTCACCACCACAAAGAGGTACCCCAAAAAAGACACACCCATGTGTAGAAGGGGTGGAACTGCCCCCAAGACTGTTCAAGGGATACAATGTAGACAATAGCGCAGGGCTTCATGTTGACCCCAGATGGATCAACCCCAGTGTGTTGTTCGTTTTTTTCAGGGGGTGTTCCCCTCCAAAAATGTGGTTTAACTCCCCACATTTCACCCAGGTTGACACCCTAGTAGTAAACTAGTTGCTTGATTAATTAGTTAGTCTAGGGTCAAGATTACCTCCACAGGTGTCTTTTTGGAAAGATAGATGGCGCTGGAATACAAAGCCCATCTAAACCCAGTGCTGAACCCACCTGGGTGTGGCTCAAAATTAAAGAGCTAGGGTTACGCAGGATTTCGTCTTTGGTTCCATTTGCCAAGGGTGCCATTGTGATACATGTTTTTGAGCCACAGCCACCTATGCTTTTCCTGCAGCGTTTTTTTTTGCAACCTGGGCATCTGATTCAAACAAAGATCTCCGAGGATGGGCACCACGTTGTTCATGTTCTCGGTGGTGAGCGTGGTGCTGATCACCAAGAACGAGGCCACCAGGGACCACGAGCTGGTGCTGCTCTACTTTCAGACGGTGCCGGAGGTGAGAGCATTGATCTGGAGGGGGGTATTTGTGTATATATGTTCGTATGAATACGTATATATATATATGGTCAATACGGTTATCATTATTATATATTTTATTTTTATTGTGATTCTTTTTTGGGGGGTGGGGTGGAACATATATATATATATATGGGTTGAAGTTTGTTTTGGGAAGAAGGTGGATTTTTGTTTGTAGGTTTTTTTGCACAAAGCCATCCAGTTCGGGGATCTTTGGAGCAACCCCGAATGCAGCCCAAAGGATTCGACCCTACCGTCCTGATTCCCAGGAAGCTGAGAAAGCAAAGCATTGTTCGGGAGGAAAGTCCATGTCGGTTTTTGTAAGGATTCCTGGTCCGATTGTTTGAACGAACCATGTTTTTGGTTGTCTTGACTCCTACCTGGTTGGAGAACTAATCCACCAGAAGGCTTTCAAGTCTTGCACAGGGTGCAGAGGTTGTCTTCTCTCAGAGGATGCCTCTGATTGCTTAAGCCAGTGCTTCCAGGCGTTTCGCCACTACAGCTGGCCAAAGGACCTAAAGCACTGGGGCTGATTTCCCATTTTTCAGCCAGAACTAAGGGGAAATCAGCCCACAAGCTGGGGCTCAGAGCAGGGGTTGATATATGGTTTTGTTTTTTGTTCAGGTTACTCCTTTTTGGTGATTTCAAACGAACAAACGGAAAGCGACCAGTTTGTTTCTGGGGGGATCATTACAAAAGTGACATGCAAATATGGACCTCTACAATCAGCCTTTGGGAGGCGTTCTTCACGCTCTTCCAGATTGTGACCCTTGATAGCTGGACCAGCCTCTCCCGGCCTCTTGGGGAGACCAGTCCGCTGGCCGCCCTGATCATTGCACCTCGGCTGTTCTTGTTTTCGTGGCGTGGAAAACCAACCGGAACCAACCGGGCAACCGCGGTCCACAGGGGTCCCTTGCCCCAGTCAGTTGATCCATTTTCTGGTGGAAACCCTGAAGCGCTTGTAGTTGTTCCCTTCCAATCCAGGGCTTCGCAGGGCCTCCTTTTGCTTTCATGGCTTGTTGAGGCCCGAAATGCTTTCCAACTTTCCATTCAGCCCAGCGTTAAGATACAGAGATATGTAGTGCAACTGTGTTCTAAGACGGGTTACATCAACATGGCTCAAATTAAGGTCCATGTTTCCACTTGCCAGGGTTCCATTTTGGGTAGCGGTTTTTTGAGCCACAGCCATATATATATATACACATTCAGGAGGCGACGTTGTTTTTTTGCTAGGAGTGGCTCGCAGCTTAGCAAGGGCTCCAAGGCTGGTTGGTTGGTTGGTTGGATGGCTGGCTGGCTGGCTGGCTGGTTGGTTGCAAACCAGCAAAAATACAAATAATACCGCCCCTTCAGCAACAGTCAACACAGCTGAAACAAGCCCCAAAGCCTGACGCAAGCCGAAGCCACCCCCAAGTTTACCCAAGTTCAACCATAAGCAGCTAAGCTCAAAAGCAACGGAGGGCCATTTTTTTAAGTTTTTTTTTTTTTTTTGGGGGGGGGGTTGTTTTTTGTTTGTCAGGGTGGGGGGTACGTGGGTTTATGTGGCTTTTGGCTTTTCATTTCGCATCATCTGCATTCACAGTTCCTCTCTGGCGGCTTTTTATTGGGTTTACGCGTCTTTTGGCGGCTTCTGGCTTTGGCTTTTCGCATTCCCAGTTGGTTTTTTGGACAGAGAAGATTTAGTTGCACCCCTATTTGAATCATCACTTCTTCGAACAACATGGGGGACATTATTATTGAAGTCGCGTTCTGAGACGGTGAACGTGCTGGTGGTGAACCTGTGCCTCCTGAACTTGGTCACCGCCACCATCGTGAATGCCGCCTTCGAGCGCCAGGCGGCGGATCATGAGATGGTGGCACGCGAGCAGAAGGACCGTTGGGATTGGGGGGGCTGCGTGGGTTGGTGTCCCTCCAAAACTACCAAAGCTACCCAAAGACTCACCCTAGGGGACCCTCCAATATCAATAGTGAAAATATGTTGGTGTCCCTCCAAAACCACCACCTGGATAAAGTCCATCAGCATCCATCCACATGGAGAGGCCATGGGTCAAAACCCCGGTTACCCCCCAGTGAACATCAACCAAAACCGCGAACATAGGTTCTAAAATGGGTGGTGAATTCACCTACTCCAAAATGGGATACCATTGGTTTTGACCCACCGCCGTTTCGACTCGCCTCGACGCGACTCGGCGTGTCGCATCGGTTTTGGGTTTTCAAGGCGCCACTAACAGACTAGGTCCCCCAGCTAGGTGCCCTTTTTAACCTCTTTTTTGGTTGGGAGGGTTCCCCCTACTAAGATAGACTACAGAAAAAAAGTTGGTACCCTTAATTATTTTAAACTCTCTACTGGGGGACCTAGCAGAACCAGATCCGTTGGCCACGCGGATGGTTGCGAAATCCGCTCAAAGGCACCACCGAACTCGGAAACCCTGGCAGTTCTGATTGGATTCCTCGGTAAATACCGAGTAACAAGGGTTCCAACCATGGTTTCAAAGTGGTGCAGGATTTCGTCCATCCGCAGTAGGTGGTTCTACTACCTGGTTTAGCTTGCGGTTATCGAAAACCCAAAATACAAAAATGGATAGCCATTTTGGTAGAAGCAAGAGGTTTGGTCTCTGTGGAACTACCTGGTTTCATGGAGGTTATGGTAAAGCCAGAAGCCTTTCAACACACGCGCCCTACAGCCGATTGCTTCTTTGGAGGGCTTGCCTCTTTTCAGGTTTTGGAAACAAAAGGGGACTAAATCCCTATTTTGCTCCAAACATAAATGGGGTCCCGGGGTTCCCTTTTCTAAGGCTAGTTTGCGGGTCCAGGTAGATCAGAATGGATCACAGCGGCAATCAAAACCGACTGTGGATCCAGTGCTTCCAGGTGTGCAAGAGGCTTGCAGCCAGGGATCTAGAGACCTCGAGGTTGAACATGATCTTCACTGTTCTTGGCATGTCTTAACAAAAAAAGTTGTTTGGTTCTGTTCATGTTTACTGGGGGTCTGCAAAAAACAGTCAGTTTTTCGCTACCATACCAAGAGTAGAGATGTGATTTCTGGGCAAGCTTATGGGCCACCGCCTGAAAGCACATGCGAGTCAGGGGTCCATTGGCGCCCCAATTTGAACAACAAGGGGCACCTTCGAAATGGACAATTGCGCAACGCCCGAACACACAGGGTTGTCTCAAAATTGAGAACCCCCACAAATGTTGTTTGTTTGTTTTTTTGTGTGTTTGGCCGGTTTGTCGTTTGTAGTCTTTCATGCACAGATCAGTTGTGCACTTGGGGTCAGGGATGATCGCCTGTGTTTTTCCTCAAATGAGCATTGCCCTCCAAATGGTGTCTTGGCGCCATCAGAGTCTCCATGTCCGTTTTTTTTTTTTTTTTTGGGGGGGGGCGGGTGCGGGTTACCAGAAACACTACTGGAAAATCCACCCTTCCGATATTTTTTTCGAGGCACCGAAGTCTAACAGCATCCCTCCCCCCCAACCGCAATTTGTTGGTTCGCGTACCAAGAGGATTTTGGTGAGCCTTGAACCGTTGGGGCGAGCTACCCGCGTCAGCCTGTGGACCCTCCAGAGATCTTCACGTGATTTCCCTTCTTCTTTTTTTAAAGGTAGGTTGAGGGTCCAGGTACATATGTTACCCAGCCTTCCAGTTGCCATGTGTAACATTGTGTAAGACTTCAACATGCTTACTGGATTTGCACGTGGCTTCCTTTTTTTTTGGCAAGCCTGCTAATGTTGACCCAGGATGAATAAACCCGTCCCAGCAGTAGGGGGGTGTTCCCTCCAAAAGTGATGAATCCCCACTAAAAGGGGACACCCCCCTATTAATCAACGAATCAACCAATCAACCAGGGGGTTATTAATCCGGGGTTAACATAATCGTGGCTTGCCTGGAAGCACTGGGAACAAAGCGCATTTTCTCGGAGCGCTCCTGATTGAAAGGTATCGTCCCGCCGCAATTGTTGCAGGAGTTCGGTCCATCTTGGCCGCAAAGTCACCCAGCTGTTGTAGGGTGCCATGCCCACTCTTGAAAGACAGAATCAAAAGGGCTGAATCACATATCCCGAATCGTATTTCCCGATTCGATACTTGGATGTTTGGCCAGGTTAGTAAGTGCTTAGGCAACTGTGGTATAACCGGCCTAACAACCATAGGTCAACCCCACTTAATCTCACTTTTGATGGGTTATAACCTAGGTTGCTAACAACTGACCAACTTGGCGAATCGAACACCCAAGTGCCGCATGGAACAAAAGACCCGGGGTGTTTCCCTCCCAAAAGTGGTCTGATTCCTCACTAAACCTAGGTTGACCCCCTTACAGTAAATGAATCAATATGTTGGGATTGACCAATATGGGGTCAACACCTTCTTGTTTTTGCTTATTCCAACCAATTCTCAGGACAAAAACGACCGGCTCATCAACGATATCCAGAACCTCTTCAGTGAGATGGACACCCGCGGGGAAGGAAAGCTGACCTACGAGGACTTGGGTGGGTCTGTCAGGTTCTTGTGCGGAAGGGTCCCAACTGGGTGTCGCAGGGACTAGGGGATGTGCTCCCTTTGGTTTCCCTTAGCCACGCCAAAGAGGGCACCTCCCCCCGACTTAGCGGTTCAACCGGCCGTCCGGGTTGTCGGTTTAGTGGTTGGGTGTCAATTTGACCTTTAGCAGGGGATCTGAGGACAGCCCAGCCCAAAAGAACAGACATCCACATACTGAAACTGAAATGTCCGCTCTCTTGGGTCTGCAAAGTGTTTTGTTTTCTACCCGGAAGGCGGTTACTTGGGTCAAGTTTTAGTTTTCGCTTTGGCGGTTGCTACCTTTTATTTCAATGGCTCATTCTGTGAGAAGGGGACGTGAACCTCTTTGGGGTTGGACCATTTTGGTGGTCAATGAAATGGTTTGGACTTGTTTTGCTGATACACTCAAGTTAAATGGTCTGGAGTCATTTGCTTGCGTTGAACATCCCCAAAGACGCCTGTCAGGTGGATGGGTGTGCAGACTTGGGAGGCCACAGACAAAAAGCCGTAGAGACAACTCCTATGCCAATCTCCTTAGGTCAAACAGAGGGCCATTTCTCTTCCGGATCGGAAGCCGCTGCTTGTTCTCGCACCCGAAACCCGAACCAGGAAGCATGCTCCCCAAGCAAACCGCAGGAAACCCAGCCCCCAGCCCCCTAGTATAACTTCCGTCCTCTTTTCTCACGGGGTGTTGGCAACCCCAAAATGAACCGGATTCCCGCAAGGAATCAGAGATCGCCCGTTGAAAGTCAACCAGTTCTGCTTCCGAGGTTTCCATGCTTTGAGAGTCCTCAGGTGCCGAGCTTCGATCGGATCGCTGACTGTCAAGCGAGAAAAATAAATGGAATCCCATTCGGCCGGCGGGGGGGGTCCAAGAAAGTCCGGGGTTCCCTAAGCCTCGCCAAGTAACCCTGAACCCTAAGCCTGAAGGCACTCGAAAGGGGCTCTCAGCTACCCATCCCCTTCTCGGTTGCGAACTCTGCTCCCCTGCTAAAAGTTTAACTTTTAGTGGTTTAATGGAAAACCCATGAGTTGGCAAAAGCCTAAAGTCCTAACATCCCTTGGCAAAATGCATCGAAGCCTTTGTACCCCCCAAATGGATGCCACTTCAGGAGTACATCAAGGCTGTGGAGGGGAACGACCAGATCCAAACCAAGTTCACCACGCTGGAGATCGAAGATGCCGACGAGCTTTGGAATTTGATTGACCTCGGCGCCTAGAACCAAAGTGGCGAAGTGGCGAAGTGGGTCCGTTTTTGTTGTTTTTTGGAATCGGACTCCCCAAAATGGCTTCGGAATTCCTTTTAGTTTCCCTTTAGAATCGTCCAAACAAGGGTACCCAGCTACGTACCCTCAAAGAAGTGTGGGAGGTGTTTGCCAATGTGGGTCGGTGTTAGTTGTTACTCGAGTTTGGTTGGATCCCGCAGTGAGGTGACGGTTGAATGTTGTTTTATTAAACCCGAGTGGCTGGTTGAATGTGAGATTTATGCACAGAAAACGAGCTCACTGGGGGGGAAGGGGGGACGAGCTCACCCATGCCTGGCTCCATGGGGAATTTGCCCATGTGTGTATGTGTGTGCTGTTGCTTGGAGGTTGGTACCCTGTTCATCGGTTTTTGGTTTTACTTGTAGCTTGGCCCTTTGGAACCTGGATGTTCGATTCAGTTAGTAGGGTGGTTAGCTAATTGAGGTTGTTCACCCCCTAACAACAAATTGTGAACCGCCCATTCACGAGGGACTTGCAAATGGGTTAAAACCGAGCAGTTGCCGTTACAACTTACCAACTTGGCAACGCACACACACACAAGTAGGTATCATGTTGGGGGTGGCCCGCTCCTGACCCTCAACCCCGATTCGAGACCAGACAACACGGCTTAATTCGATGTGTGAAGGCCGTGAGTGTTTGATTTGGGATGTGTGTTTTTGGAGGGGGCGGATGGGAAGGCCAACGCTTGCCCTGTGCAGCCAGGGACGTTCTATTGGCGCATTCGGGTTCGAAGCCAAGATGAAGCCAAGTAGCATAGAGTTGCTTGGAACCAAAGGGCAAACTGTCACAGGCGTACCCCTTGCATGTGTGAGGGAGACCACTCGAGGGTCGCTTGTCAACCCAGCAATCAAACTCAACCAGGGATGTTGCTTCAACCGCTTGTGCTTTTGGCAAAATATATTCCACTGCATGCTGTTTGGGTCGCTTCCGGCCTTCGCTAGGCACCGGGGATATTGCCGTGGACCAGTTCGCACAAGGCTTGCGCGTCATCGCGGAAGAGACGAAGGCAAGTCACGTTGGGCCTGGGTCCCGGGAGGTGACGGTGGCATGAAGTTGAACGCCAAAACTCTCCAAAAGGACGCTTTTTGTTGGTGGTTCTACTGCCTGTTTTGTTTGAGATTATAGAAACCCCTAAACATAGCCAGGTAGAAGCAGCGAGGGAGTCAAAGGGTTTTGTCGTTGCTCTTGAACAGGCCCGCCATGTCGCCATATTGGCTGCTCTTTGCCTGTGGGGGGGGGGGGGGGGCGGTTCGGGGAGCTTCGTACAGCCAGGATGTCGATGGGTGACTTTTTGGAAGAGCCATTTTGGTTCTTGGTTGCTCCCAGCCATCCGGTTCCTTAGCTTTTTAGCCTTTTAGTGTTTAGTGGTAGTTTCCATTTGACCCACTAAAAGTTAAACTTTTAGCGGGGGATCTGAGGGCAGCCCAGGGATGTTCGGCCAAGTTAGTGTCTGTGGTTAGCCAATTCGAATTCGGGTGGATAACCCCCTAATAATAAGGTTAATAAGCCCACATCCGCGGGCCGCATTCCCGGTTCACCAGCAACTTACCAATTTGGCCGAACAGCCGAGATTGCAGTCCGGTTGACATGCGGCAAGCCTTGCCCAAGTCCCACTTGCTTGTATCACCTATGGTCTCTTGGCGGCTCACCCAGCGCTTCTCGGCGTTTCGCCACTTTGGGTAACCCTTGAGGATGCTTAACTTCAGGCTTTATCCTGGATGCCAACCCGCTGTTGCGAGCCTGCGAAATTTTGCTGATCGAAAGCACTGGGTTTGGCCTTTCCAACATCTGAGCTCCGGAGGCGGCGATGAGTTTGTCTCAAAAGGGGCTCTCGAATTGGTTTCTCTTGAATATCCCTGTGAAACCACCCAAAATCAGCAAAGGCGCATGCCTTGTTTGGGAATCCCATTAGAACAACCCATGTGTTGGGTTTCCATGAGACTATATCAAGTAGGCTTACGCAGTTCTGGAACAGGCCAAAGATGCCTTCACCATCAACCGCCGCATCGGCATTGCCTTAAAGCGCCTGCAGCTCTCTGTGGACGACACTCGCGGCGCACTTGGGTATGAGACCATTTTGCACCCGACACAGGCACCAACCCATGTGGCCATGGGTCAGTATCCCGTGCCCCCAGTGAACATCCCAATCCCCACTAAAATAGACTAAAATGGGTGGTGCACCTACCCCAAAATGGTACCATTGGTTTTGACCCACAGCCATATTCCACCTTGCAAAACAAATATCTTGCTTTTTGTTGGTTCCGCGGTGTCTATCAACACTAGGGCCATAGTGTTGTTGCACGAAAGAAGGCCCGTACGGCTCTAGGATTGTTCAGCGGTTTGTCCATAGCAGCACCTCATTCACGCAACCACCTATTCTGCATACAAATCAGTCCAAGGCCAGACCAAAAAAACAGGGTTTAGTTGTGTGCTTTTGTTGATGGTATGGTGGATGCCCTAAATATTGCAAGTAAGGGAACAAGGTAACCCTCTAATTTGCCGTAATTTACTGTGGCTTCGTGCTTGAGTATGTCTCCTGTTTGTTCACCAACCATAATTTGTTGGCTTGCAATAACCTATGTTTTACGGGTAGTTACAGAGTCCAGTTATTATTTTGTTGATGGCACCCTTTTGTGGGGTGGTTTACTGGTTTGGGGAGTTCCCCTGTTTGGAGATCAAGGTGTTGCAGCGCAGGCCATCCGTAAAGTCGCCGACGACTCACTCCCCCCAGAAAAGAAGATCCCCGGCCCCCTACAAGACAAGACAAATCAGGCCGTCGCTGTCTAGATGAGCCTCAGCATATTCGGGGGCTCAATTGAGCATCGTATAGAAAGCTGCTGCTATTTAGGTGGCAGAAAAAGGGTAAGGCCAAACTGGATCCCTGGTAAATGGAAGCAAGGACTAATACGTTTAATTTTGACCCATGCCCAACCCCTGCCAAAATGGCTTGGTCTCCATTTGGTTTCCCTTTCTGCCTGAGTAAGGTACCACAACCTTCCCTGGGAGTTTTTCCAGGTATACCCCCATTTTTGTAGAAAGCCCCCCATCCCCCTGGGGGTTTTTCCACCGAAACGAGCCGGTTCGGACATCTCAGGAGATGGATCGGCAGTCGCGGCTGGTGGAGCGCTTCGGAAAGGAGAGCGAGAGAGAGACTCGAGGGGTCTCCCCGGATATTTGGGGTGTGTGACGTGGTCCTTTTCTTTCTCCCCCAGCTAGGTGCCCTTCTCTACTCTTTTCTGGTTGGGAGGGTTCCCCTACTAAAGTAGACGTCCTGCCAACAGTTGGTACCGTGATTCTTCCTCTGAAACCACCCAAAGCAGTTATTTGATTGTGTATTTTGCAAAAAGGGGGTACCCTCGGAAAGAAGATGGTGCCGTTTCCCTTGTGTTGGGTTTTTACAAATTGCCTCTTTGGCCCCGTTCAAGGGGGGCTTTCCCTTGATGTTCTAGATTAGGGGGCATATAGGGACCCCTGTATGACCGGGCGACATAGTCACGACTCCGACACATCTTGCTTCATGTGAGGTGGACGTTTTTTAGGGGAACCAACAGAAAAATGGCACATGCATGGGTCCCGTATTTCAGAAAGTAGTTGTACTTTGAAGTTTGAAGAGCCTGTACCTTTCCTTCAACGGGTGCCAGGGTGTTTCTCCCGGTTTCCGCATGAGCAGAGACAGGAATGAGACGGCAATGGAGACATACTCCAAGCTGTGGCACCCACAAAATGCCCGAGCCTCCTCTAAGAATGCGGCCAAGTTTCCCTTGCCCTCCCAGTTGAAAACACAAAACAAAAGAACCGTCCTTCGCTCACGGCAGCGACAACAGGTCCACAGACGTCCACGGAGAGTAGGGGCGTATGGCTTGCTGTGTGAACAAGCACGGCCCCTGTTATCCAGCATTTGGACACGTTCAGACTAAGCACCTTGGCGAACAAGAAACATGCGCCCCTCCCAGTTTGGTATTCCTTATGGAGGTATACCAATTTTGTGGGTTTGTCTTTTGTTTAGAGCCCCCAAAAACACTGCTGTTCCTTTCGGTTTTCCATTTTTTCCACAAAGCCAGGGCACCAACTCCACAAAAGACACTTTCATGTCCCACCAAAAATTTAATCTGACAAGTTGACCTCCCCTCCTGGCTCGGGCCCGTTTGGGCCTATTGTTGGATCGGTCGCCAGGCTATGTCCGAGCAAAATCGCACGATTTGACCTTCTGGGTTTTCCTCATGTTGGTCCGTATCAGTTGCCATATTTAGTCATGGGCCACAAAAGGTGATTGCCTTTTATCTTAGAGTCCGGACTCAGCAACTGGGTTAAGGTAGCAATAGCCCAGTTTTCACGAGCAGTTTGAGGGTCCAGGCAATCTATGTCCTTGTTTTTTCACTCCCTGAGTTGCTGGACTTTCGACTTTTTGGGCTTGGACCAATTTACTGGCACACACGAAGTTTGGTTCTATTTTATTGTTCGGCTCATGCGCTGGATCGGAAGCGAGAAACTCCGTGTGTTGGCTGAGCCACAATCAAAGCCCGGGTAGATGAAGGTTAGTAAGGGAGAATCCCAACCACAAACAGCTGCAGCCGCCTTCTTAATTCTTTACATGGTTCTAGGTAGACCATTTTGATACCGGGTTTTGATTATGACCCAGCTGAGCGTTGGGTCAGGATATCTCAGCCATCACCCAGCAGCTCACCATGTCCGCCAACGCCATGGTGAGCTTCATGCACTCCGTGGAGCGCTGCATCCCTCGCGCTCAGGCGGTCTTTGCTTCCAAGGGGCTCAATGGGTTCCACTTTTTTGAGCCACAGCCATATGGTGGATGGGCAAGATGCCCGTAGAAATCGCACCGAAATGAGGTGCCATGGAGTGGAAACCCTGGCGCTTGTTGGTATTTACGGAGGAAAATCACATTCCAGGGTTTCATGGTGCAAATCATTGTTTGTTGGCAGTTCAGTTGGGGAGTCGAATCAGAAACCAGGGTTTCTGATCGGTGCGAAATGGATTTCGCAACCATCCCAGGAATCCTTCGCGAATTGTCTTGGCTTTACCCTAAAATTCCGAGTTTCCATGAAAAGAATGGCAAGGACCGCATGTAGATGAACATCCTGAGGTCAACAGCTGTGGTTTTGCGGCAAGCCCCAGGTTTTGTTCATGCTGGTTTGAACCCCAGGGTTTTTCGGTAGGATGGAGGCAGCAAAAAAAAAGAAAATAAACATATGGTAACTTTGGCGGTTTACCTTGTTCCCTTACTTCTAGGGGGTGATTCCTTGTCCATTCTTTTCATCCATGGTTCTTTCAAGAACCAGCTGTTTCCCCAGGGTGTTGGGTGTTGTTGTTTTTTTATTTAGAAAGATTCAAAGAAGGATGCCTGGGTCAAGAATGGAAATGGAAGGTACCCCTAGATGACTTGTTTTATCTCGGGCCTCCAGCGTAGCAACTCTTTACCAGCACCCCGGTCCCGGCCACTCGGTACCAAGGTTAAGGGGTGCGGCTGCTTGCTCCGAAATCCAATCTGGTGGCCTGGAAAAGGTTGGAGTCCTTTTGGCTTCCTCAAGCTCTTTGGGTGTACAAAAACGTCCATTAGGTTGGGGATGAACATGGCTTCTGTCCGACCTCTTGCTTTCCAAAAGGTTTGGGTGTGGGTCCCAACAAAACGCGGTGCCCACAATGGATGGCAACCTGGGACTTGACATGTGCTGTCCCTGGTGGTTTAATTTATTTGCCCCATACCATCGACCAACAGGTGCCTACTGTGGATGGTTGCGAAGTCCATTTTGCACCACCTACGAAGCCACATGTTTCCCAACGTTGGTCTTTACGCTGGGGGATCGAATCATAACTTCCAGATCTTCTGATGGGTGGCGCGAAATGGATTTCGCGAAACCCTCCACAGTAAGCCCACGCGTTTGGTTTAGATGCGGACTCGGGTTCGAATGACTGGAAAAGAAGGGTGTCCAGCGCTGGCGCCGAAACACAATATAATAGAAAGCACCACAAGCTGGACCCGAAACAACTGTCCTTAACAACGGTAAATCACCCCAAAGTGTTCGGGCAACAATTGATCTTTACGGGTTTGAGGGTCAGGTATTGGGATATGGTTTTGTTGTGGCTTAACAATGGGACTCGGGCCAAAACAGATAGGCAAATGGAGAAGTCGACCCAAACCTGTCCCCTGGCCCTCAAATGTTGAGCCACACACATATAGTCCACCCAACACCTTCTTTGTGGTTACTGTATGACGTTCTTAGGATGCCTATGTGAAAATGGGTGTGGCTTAAAGTGTAACAACTGGGGCTACGCCGGTTTTAGTCTTTGGTTCCATTTGCATTTTTTCATATTGGAACCGTAACACCAAAGGTATCTCGGACCCGTTTGGCTCGTTTGTCCAGGATGTAGTCTCATAGCTGTCCTTTTTGGCTGGTTTGATTCACAAAAACAGGCCCTGGTTTAGTTGGTTTATTCCAGTTCCCAGGGCCATCTATTTTTCCAAAAGGTCAATGGGTGTTGTTTTTGGGTACCTCATGTCTGTGAACCGCTGCTTAGTGCTGATGTCACAAGCTTCGGCCGGGGGTTTTCGTGGACTTCTGCTCCGCAGCCCATGTGGAGAGGTGCAAACAGCAACCCCTCAAAACTCCAAGAGACACTTGTAGGTTCACATCGGTTCTCGTTGGTTTTAAAGGGACGCCAAGAGGAACACCTTTGCGCCGTTTTTTTTTTTTCTCCGGGGAGGGGTTCTCCAGAACAAAAAGGACAAGGTGCGAAGGAAGGTTCCTGAAAGCTTTCTTTAATGTTTCTCCGGGGGGGCACTGGTCTCCCCCCAGTCCCCGACTAAGTCCAAGTCTCTTCAGACTTCGCCAGGTGCTGATGAACGAGAGGCAGGTGGAGGAGCATCGGATGGGTCAGGGGACAGCCGACCGGAGTGGTTTTCGCAGGTATCCGATGCACTGATGTCATGGACCTTTGAAAGATTCTGTGACACTGTGGGTGGACGAAATTTGTTCGCACCATCCTAAGAAACCATGGTTGCAACCATGTTTTGTTGGTGTTTGCAGGGGAATCAAATCATTCCAGGGTTTCTTAGGTGGTGCAGGATTTCGTCCATCCACAGTATTTCCCATTCAGCTGCGAAACAATGGTGACTGGCGAAGAGAACAACTCCTTTGAACAACGTCGGTGCTGATCTTTGTAGTAAATGGAGGGTGATTCTGCCAAAAAAAAATGCGCTTCAGATTCAGTCAGGTTTCTCTTGGAGCGGGTATGACGAATTTGAGGACATTGCTTGGGTGAGACTGGTAGAGACATCACAGCAGTGGATCACAGTTGCCCTTATAGTAGTTAACAAGCCTTTTTTCCTGTTGGTTTTCAAACGTGTTTCTCTTGGTTACCTACTATAGAGAAGAATAGGCTCCCGAATGACCAGCAAGAACAAGAGGCTTACTCGTCAATCTGGACTCCAATGTGAGTTGGGGACAGTGCTTCACCGCAACTCAGGACCCCAAATCCACACCACCAATCCAAACCACCAAGTAAGAAGTACCTGAGTCTCAGCTACTTGTTTAATTGGTGGTTTGGATTGGTGCGGAGTTGGATTTGTAAAGCGCCCTGGTTCTCGCGGAAGGATGGGACACAACTCCACCCTTATTTATGCCTGAAGCTTCAAGCTTCCGAGCCAAACCCATGGGTTCCATGAACCGCATGGCCTCTCGGGGCTTCGGTCCGAATGTCCGAACTTGTGTGTCTCAGGACCCGAAGGGGCCCCCGAAATCCCATGGTGGGTGTGGAAATCAAAATTATAAAGAGCTGGGGATGTCTCGGCGGGGTTCAGTCTTTGGTTCCATTTACCGCTTGGTGCCATTTTGGAGTTCAGGTTTTTTGAGCCACATGTTGAGAGCCCAGAGTGTTTCTTTGTTACCTGGGTATGCCTTTGAGGGACCCTTGGGGCTTGTTTCAAAAGGAAATCAAAGGAAAGCCAGCAGTTGGCTCCATATATCCCTTGAGACACACCATGTCCCAGCCGGTCCCAGGAGACACGTCATTCATGTTGAATGACTCGTTTCGGGGGGAAGTTCGGGAAAGGACCGGCGGCACGAGATTTTGAACAAGATTCAGCCCTTGCTGAGCACGGACATCAGTCAGGCGCCTCCCTTCCCCGCGCTTTCTTTTCCCTGCTGATGCTTAAGGTGCTCCAAGGGGTCAAAGTGCAACCCGGGTCCTCGCAGAGTGGCAACCTGTTGGGGCTGCAGGGTTGAAGTTTAGACAGTCCCAACATGTCCCAACTATTGGTGCAAAGAATCCAGCCTGTTGATGACTTTTGTGTTTTTGTGGTTGTGCATAGACTTGACCCACCACTTCATTTGCTGATCGGTGCTGATCGGTGGGAAAGAAGAACAGAAACGCCAGCAGTTGAAAACATGGGAGCTGACAGACACACGAGGGCTGGATCAAACAGCGACAACAACTCTGCATTGATCAAATGCTTCGCTTTCCGGCGCCTGGTTAAGTCAGAAGCAATTCCCACCTTTAAAAAGCACAAAGCAAGGGTGACGACGGGTGAATATGCGCTTATATATTCAGGATGCCTTGCTAGTTTTCAACTGGCAAGAGGCACCTTGTTCCAAGTGAATTCCTGAAGCTTATGATGGGGTCGGGTTCTTGGCTTACCTTGGGCAGGACTGCGAGTTCGGCCACTTAAAAATTAGTTTAGCCTTTCCCGCTTGCCTACAGTGGGACCCTTTGGTGTTTCAAGGGCAAATCTATGGAATCCGCCGCGGTTTTGCTTGCTGTCCAAGATATTTTTGAAGAGATCCATGGACTGGATGTGCGAAATTATCCAACTGCTTGGAGCGTAAAATCAACTCTCCAATCACAAGGCTGAACGCTGAAAGGACCCCAAATCGAGCGGGGCGGCGCTTGTGGTTCACACCTCTTGCTGGCTGGGGCCCGCGCCACCAAAAACTCCCAGCCAGGTGTCGCGGCTCTTCAACCGGAGCCGCCGGGTCGTGAAGAACACCTGAAGAGCTGGGTGCGAGAGACCCGGAGAGCTCCACACCCCGAGACCCGTTGCGATCGCTATTGGAACAGAGAGGCTCGAAGCCAGGGATTCATTCCCATCCTGGTTCTGCTCTTTGCTCCCCTAAAAGTTGAGAACTTTTGGTTGTTTAATACCGGAAAACCCATGAGTTGGCAAAAAGTTATTCAGTCTTAACATCCCTTGGCACCATGCAACAAAGTAACCAAGCGCCTGGGCCGCCCTTTGAATAACCAAAAGGACAATTGCTTGTGACAGTGGCGAAACGCCTGGGATCCACGAGTCTCACGGGGTCTGGTTTGCATGGAGCCATGAAGACATTGAATGAGTATCGATCCGCCAGATTCCAGAGACTTCATGAAACTCTGAGCGTGATTGCACCATGTATCTTGAGAGCACGGTCCAAGCGTTCATGCAGAGCTGAAAGACCATCCTGGACCTTTAAACTACCCTTAACAAAGACAAATCTCCCCATTTGTTTGGGGCAACAACCCATTTTTGCGGGTAGTTTAAGTGTTCAGGATGTGATTTCTGATGTAAACAGCATGTGAGAGGTGCAAGTGTCCCATGCAAAATGTGTTTCATAATCTCCAGATCTTCCCATGCCGATTCTTCTTGAAAGGGTAGCAGGCCCAAGCTGGCATGAACCAGGTTCATTCTGCACGAGTCCAGCACATCGCATGAAGTTGACAGAGCCAAATGACGCTGGGGTCCCAAAAAGGCATTGTTGTTGCATGGGAGTTTCCCAAGATGGGATTCGGACCCCCATTTGGGTTGTTGTTTAAAGGGAAGCCAGAAGGACCGTGGAAAAGGATTGAACAGGTTGGGGCTTAGAGTGCAAGATGGTCTCGGCAGGAGTAATGCGCAAAAAACAGCGGGCCGGTTGAAAAGCTGTGAACCGCTATGGGCAATTATATGACCTCAGGCGCTTGCGACCTCAAGAATTCGTCAACAATGAAGCTTCCTTTCTTGCGTTTGGTCAATCAGCGACTCGAAGGGCAGCTGACTGCGTGCCAACTTGTTGTATGTTTTTTTCTTTGCCCTGCTCCGCAAGTGAATTTGGATGCTCTTGCCGCCGTTTTTTTCGTTTTAGGTTTCTCCCGCTCATGAAAAAAGCGGACCAACTTTCTGTGTTTGGGATGGTATTCTTCCCATGCGCCCGGTCGTGTTCGCAGCCTTTCTCGGCCTTTTCATTCGTTCGCAGTCACGACCGCAAAGCGTTTCGTGATGCATGCTTGGACCAAAGAGATGCCATTAGATTTCCCGAACGGATCCGAATGTGAAGCCGGATCTCAGGCTCTTTGGGGTGCTAAGAATCCGACACATACATGTGTTTTTTCTCCATGAACTGAGGCATTTGCAAATTTGCCAGACCAAAATTCCCACTGGCTTGACCGTAGAATTCAGGCTAACAGGGATGCTCCGAGCCGTGATGACCAAACCACAAGGGCATGTTGCTTTCCTTTGCTTTTCCTCCAACGTAATTAAGGAATTTCGGAGCAGCCCTAAAGGTCTCACCCAGGCGTGCGGAAAGAATCGGCCGAATGCGAGGCCATTCAGGTGCTGTGATTGTTTAAGAGTTGGAACCAACGAACTCATGGCACATCTCCGAATTCTGATGTGCACGGGATCCCAACTGAGAAATTCACGGCCCCATCCGTTCAGCGCTCCAAAGTTTGCAAAACAGACTCGCGGCATCTCGCCGCGAAGCAGCAGGGTGGGAAGCAGTCTGAGTGATGTAGAGGCCATGTTGTTTCGGTCAAAAGGCGTAGTTGGCCCGTTTTTCCCGTACGTTTGCCTTCTTTCGGTTATTTGCCTTATTTGCCCGTATTTCGCCGTCATGAAAACCCATATTTTGCCAACAGCATACAGCAAAAAGGGAAGAACACGCACAGTTCCCGGTGCTGAGGCTCGGGGGTGGTGTCCCATTTCCCGCAAGAGCCAGCTGAAATCCCGACACCTTCAATCCAAGCCACCAGCTCAGGGGAAGAAGCCGCGGGATCTTTTGTCGGGTTCCAGGTGAGTGGCTGAAAGGGCGCTTGCCGCCAAACTGATGGGGGCATCCTGCATATTCCTGCATCCTCTTCCTGCAGTACACCCTTGCCCAACAATCAAGCCGTATTGATGCTTGATAGACCAATACACTAGGCCTTCATGCGAAGGCGATTTTTTGGCTTCATACACAGCTATTGCCAATATGTCGATCATTCTATACGGATCACGCGAAGTTGGGTCAGCAAAAGCAAACAATGCTGTTGTGCCTTTTGCTAAGCAGCACCTGCCACGCGCCTACCTGCCACTGCTAATTATCTGCTATACTGATGTACCTGGGCAAATTTTGGGTTTTGAGCTGGTTCTTGTCGGCAAGCGGGGCCACCCCCCGACCCTCCGCACCGGGCGCCAAACCACCAAGAGGAAGTCAGGCACAAAGTCCCCATATCCCGGCTCCGAAATGGGTCCCTTCGCGGAACCAGACTCATTTCTGTTGACCCACCAGGTTCCTTGAAATTTCGCAAGCCGTAGCCAAGTTCCTCGGTCGAAGGGAATGGGGAGTCAAGCCTCAAAGTGGGGGGCTGCCCGTCTTCGCCAAATATATGAGCATGTCTTTTGTTGGGAGATGGATCCCCAGCACGGTATGTGTCCTTTGGGGTTCCCTTTCAAACCATACAAAAACCGGGTCCCTCAAAAAAAAGAAGAAGAGACATCCATAGGCCTATCTCGGCCTTTCGTTGTTTTCTTGCTGTGAGGCGCCATCACCGAGGACGACCTGCGGATGGTGGCAAGGGTCTATGAGGAGCCATATGACCTGGCAGACCAGAAGGACCGGGGCGTCCCGGAACCCGCTTTAAATCGGAAATCCAAGAGGTCCCAAAAAGAAGCATCAGACCGGTCAGTACTGTGGATGGACCAAATCCATTTCGCACCAAATGAAAACCATGCTTGAAACCATTGTTTGTCGGTATTTCCAAGGGAATCATCATCCCATGGTTTCTTAGGTGGTGCGAACGGATTTCGTCCATCCACAGTATGTCGGGAAATAGATTCATGAGATGTTTCAACCGGGCTGGGCCCTTGAAAGAAGCCGAGAGGTGGCTAGATTTCGGTGTTGCAACAAAGCGCGGCACGCCATAGAAGCGCGTTTTGACCTGGATTGAAGGAGATTTGGACAAGCACACGTTGCAGCTTCGATCGCCCAGTTGCTGCTTTTGTTGTTTTTGTTTCCATACACTTTACCTAAGCATCAGTCACAGTTGCTGGGGAAAGAGACTCAACTGGCTATCCAGGTATTGACAAGTCCAAGTCCTCATTGTTTCCATATTTTATGGTGTGCTTGTGGCCTCAAATGTTCGGGGTCGTTGACGCGTGTTTTGCTTTTTAGTGCGGTTGTGGGAAACTTGATACAGGTTAGGCGCACATAGGTGTCCTGTTTGGGTTGGTTTCCTCGGTGGTTTCTCGGGGCATCGTCGAGCGGGCAACCATTGTGTTGAAGGGGCAACCCTTCATTTCTGGCTGGTTCCCAGCAGGGGATGTGATGGAATGACCCCTAGACAAACCATCCCTAGGACTCCCCTTTCACTTCCTTCCCAAAAACCGCAACAGTCATCCCCTTCCAATGAATCGCGCCAGGATTTTGAGACACACCGTGGCTGGAGGTTGATTCTCCATTTACCAAGGCCATTTTTTTGGTTTTTCCCAAAAGGCCGCCTATGGTAAATCATCGCAAGGCACTTGAGTTTGAAGCTATTCTGGGTGACCTGCCGTATCTTGGAGGCTTGGATTCCAGGCAGATCGAAGGAGGGGGCTGAGCCTTACCTCCTTCCGCAAACTCACATGGAAGCTCCCGAACGGAGCCCTTAAAAAGACGTGGTTCCATTTACGGAGGCCCTCTAGGAGCTTCCCTTTGTTGGCCTCAGGGAGTGTACCTCCTTCCGCACGAATTCCCTCCGCAGGCGGTGCGGCGAGCCGCAAACATCTCCTGGATCTGTCGGGGCTCCGAGGTTGACAGAGTCGTTTTCCTGGACTCACTCCCTGAGCTTCTGGACTTGAGTCACTTTTTGGGAGCATCCTTTTAGTGGCGAACCAAACGTTGGTTGCTTTTTGGGGCCCAGCCACTTGATCGGAAGTGAGTGGATGGTTTTGGAGCCCAATGGGTAAAAGTTTTTTTGCAGTGCGTGGAGATGGGTTCTGGGTTTTTGATAACAGGGCTTGATTGTGACTCATATGGACCCCATTTTCTCTGTGCATCCGACTTTTGGGTGATTCCAAACCTCCTTACTTTGAGGGCCCAGAATTCATGGACCCGGGAACCCCAAATTGGGGTGTCAAAAGGAGAACTGTAGGGGAACAAATTATTTGGCATCTTGCTTGAGGGAATGCTAAGTCGAAATTAGAATTCGAAGACTTCCCGGCAAACGTATAGGACTACTTCCTCTGTAGGACTACTTCCTCAATAGCCTGTGAACTTTGTTAGCGTCCATTTGAACTGGTCCTGCACCAGGGAAGGATCGGATGTGCAGAAGTTGATCCTGGATTCATCAACCCATCCTCTCAATAAGGGCGTGTGTGTGTGTGTGTGTGAGTGTGACACCACCCCGATCAGAAATCATCCAGGGTTTGTGAACCCGGGGTTAGCATACCGTGGGGTTAACGTGAATTGCTGGCTTGGATTGGGGAGTTGAGCCTGTGGCCCTTGCACTGGCCAAATGGGAAGCCTGGAAAACCTCTAAACCAAACCACAAAAATGCTCGCCCCGATATGTTACCCCCAAGGCAGAATTTCTGGTAGCACCGCCAAACCAATCTGGGGCGCACGTTATAAGGTTTTTCTACCCCAAGCACAGCGCTTCAGTTCCAAATTGGTCTACGTTCGCCTTTCCCAAGGGAACGGCGGGACGTTGGCGGGACGGGCGGGTTGGCCCCGGTCATCTTGACGCGCGAGGCAGTTCTCCGCCCGGCGGCTTCCCACCCGACCTGCAGCTCAACCTGCAGGGGCCACAGCAGGAAAACATGGTTTTAGAACTATCAAGAAACGGTAACTATGAAAGATTTAAGTATAACTATTTTAGAACCTGCAGATGTTATAGCTATCTTTCTATTTAAAAAGACAAAGAACGGTTAATTATCAATAGAATCATATAAGGAAGATAGTATGATAAAATTGGCCCATGGCGCTATGGGGGTGTTTGGCACCTCGCTCCCTGAGTTGGACAGCACACATTGTTGGAAGTTTGGGCCATGGAGGTACCCAGTTGCAACCAGTGGGTTGCTTCCTTTTTCCCCACTCTTTTGGGGGAAGGGTTCCGATTCCTTGAAAGTCAACCAACCAAATTCCCCATGGCCACCGGGCATCTGAGGGTAACAACTATGGTCCAAGTGCCGCTACTTTTGGCCAGCCCACGGAAGTGAGTTGATTTGGAGATGACTTTATAGGGAAACCCAAAGGACAACTGACGCCATTGCGTTGGTTCCCCCCCAACAGAAAAAAAAGGACACACCCATGTGGGTGCGTCTTTTGAGAGGGTACCTTCGAGGCGATTCCATGGGTTTGCTTCCAGAACTTTGAAAGATTGGTTCTCTTGCAAGATTGGTCTCTTGTCCTTCGGTTCCTTGGGATGGGCCAGGAAACCAAAGGGAAACCGTTGCCATTGTTGTGTGTTGTCTTTTTTGGAACCTTTTCGGGGTTGGCTTAAAGGGAAATGAAAGACAACCACAACTTTTAGGGGGTCCCCTAAGACAGACCCATTTGGTAGAGTCCCCCATTTAGAGACGAACCCATTCGATTAAACATCCAGACCCTTGTCCCACTTCAAAGCCAACCTGAAAGGACAATGCTTAACTAGGTCCCCCAGTAGTGCCTCTTTGTTTTTTGGGGGGGGGAGGGTTCCCCTACTAAAATAGACTACGGAAAACAAAGTTGGTACCCTTATTCTAACCTCTCAAACAGTTAAAACTGTCCATCGGCCCATGCTGAGTCAAGGGCTCAAGGCGTATTTTTCCCCGGTTGCTGGGAGGCGAGAAACCGAAAGGCCCGAAAAACAATCGCTCGCTTCCTACCGAGCTCGAAAGCGATTTGGGGTCGAGGAAGCTGACAGAAAAGCGTTGCCCGGGAGTCAGCTGTTTTCAGGGAACCCCTTGTCGCCTGGTTTGAAGGGAAGCCACAGTTGGGGGGTCCCCAAATTTTATTGTCTTGGCTGGCAAGCTTTTCCCAAATGGCATGCAGTGCGCAGTTGACAGTACAACGGCGGTGGCTCAAAACAGGGTCCACTTCACCCCCAGCTGATTGACAAAGACAACCACATCTGCGGTCTGACCATGCCTGATTGGACATGTTTCCGGGGATCAGTTCTCGTTAAGTGAAAGTCCCCTTGTGTCGACGTCTGTGTGATGTCGAATAGCTGTTTCTGCGCCTGCAAGAGCGAGAAGTGTTCGACACTTCTCACGTGGATGTGGTGTTGCTGAGAGCTGAGGGTGCACAACTGGGTGTGTCGGCTCCGATTGTAACGCGCTGCTAGATGATATACTGGCGGTGGGCTGGGACCTTTCGGCCCCCAAGCCAGTGTGCGTGGAGGTGCGGGACGCACGCAATGAGGTGGTGGCGTTCAACGAGAAGACGATCCAGAGCAACAACAACTTGCTCGCAGCCCTACAGACCGGGTGCGTGAAGTACGCCTCCTTGTCGGCCAGCCACACGAACTAGGTGCTTAGGCTGCTGCACGCACAGCGCCCGCACACGCACAGCGCTGGCTCCGAGGGCACGGCCATCACAGTGGGCTGCTGTCAATGGAGCAGCTTCGCAACACAGCGACCATCGGAGACATCTTAGTCTTTGCTCTTGACTAAAGTGCAAAAACAACTGAAACTATTAAATAGTTCAAGAGCGTAGCATTCAGCAAGGCAAGGTTTCAGGCCAGCTGAGAGAGATTGTTTGGATTGCTATTGGGTTGGATCTTTAAACTGTATCTTTTGGGAAATCAAGGGTTGTCCATTGAATCCGCAAATGTCAAACTTTTCTAGAGGGATCAACAGCAACCAAGTTGTAGGCTTTGTTGCATGTGTGCGCGTAAGTTCGACCGCATGCCAAGGTCTTTGATCTTCAGCCGGGGTGCCAATTGCTGCGACACCAGCTTGGTTTCGGTCGCAGGGCAACCTGGATCCTACCCGTAAAGATTGGTTGTTGTCCAACAAATGGGGTGAAACCCCTTTTTTCTTGGTAGTTTGAGACGTACCCGGGGCGTGTGCACAAAGTCAGTCAGGAAGGCTACTCGGTATGTTCTGCCTAGGAATGTGTCTGTTTTGTGGCTCACCTCTGATTGTGTTGATTCTGTCTTGTTTGTTTCGCTCCAACTTGAAAACAACACAAAGGAATGATTCCGGGATTGCTGCTGTCAGAGTGGTTCAAGATTCAAGATATGTTTTCATTCGTCTTAGTCCAATTTGAACGCTATCTTCTGATTTGGCATGGTGATGCTGTTGTTTTGGAAAGCGGGGAGCATTTTAGACTTTTTTTGTCAAGACCAACCGAGCACATTTGCAAGTTGTCTAAGCAAACCACTAGCTATGGTGCCATGTTGATTTTAGCATGCTTTGTCGCAGGGGCCTTTTGGTGGTTTTCAACATGATCGTTCGGTTTGAGTGGCTCTCCGGCAAGGTGATGCTTTAACTTCCAGGGCAATACGGATCTGACAGTGTCAAGGTGCCTGGAAGGTCCTTTCCTCGTGTGAAAGATGTTTGGGTGCTAAATGCTGGCATGTTGCTTATAGATGACATTTGGTAGGATGACAAATCTATAGTCCCCTTCCCATTATTCAGGCCATGGTGCAAATGTGCAAATGGACAAAATCCGCCTAGGTGGTTTAGTTTCCATAGTATTCTCCTAACTGGTGCGAAGTGGAGTTTAGTCAGCCCACGGTAGATGGTGACCATGGTTGTTGTTGGGAAACATGTTACATTTTTATTTAGTGTGGTTTAGTGGTTGAAATCCAAATCCACTTAACTGGTAAAAATTAAATTGTTGCTCTCCTTCCAACGTCAACCCGACTTTGGGCTCAGTGACAGGCCTTCTCAATGTCTCAGGTCCCACCAGGCCCTTAGATCCCGCCATCTCCTACCAGCCCGTGCCCATCCAGGCAGTCGGTTGGCTCCCGCTACTGGGTCTTATGGCGGGTATACTGAGGCCTATCTATATATGAAGCCTTGGTAACCGTGTTGGTAGAGCCAAAAGTCAATGTGAGTGTGTTCGTTCTTGATTGTTTGTTTGTTTGTTTGTTTGTTTGTTTGTTAGTGTTTTGTTTGGGAGGGGAAGGCCGGAAGACAATCCTTAGACATTGTTCCCTAGAAGTTCCCTTTCAGAGGTTTGCACGCATCAGCCGTTTGCCAGTTCTATTTGGTAGAGTGATGCTTGACGGGAACATATAGGGAACCTTGTCATTGGACCAAATGTAGGGACCCCCACAAATTGCAGGAGGTTGCATGGGCTTCGGGAAACCGGAATCATGCAATCCATCCTATCGCAAGGCAAATCCGTGGAAAAATCGAGGTGTTGGAGCCCCCATCATGGTGGTTGATGGTCTTACGACAACCATGAAACCAATGGGTAGTAGAACTAGCCAACGACTGCAATGGCACCACGTTTTTCATGGGGGGGTTTGGATGCTGCTTTTGATGGCTACACCTGGCTAGCTGTTGGATCTAGCTGTCAGGTCGTGGCAGCCAAGCAATCCTTTATGGCTTTAGGGGTGTGAGTTACTCGAGCTTTTGGGCTTGGGTTTGGACCATATTTTGGTTGTACCTGGAGTCTCCTTCAAACCCGAATCAAACATGGGGGCACCCCTTTCCTTCGGGATTGTTGCCCCGATGTGCAAAGGATAAGCACCCTTGTTCAACAGGAGCCGCTATGGGCTATGTGATGTTGGATGAAACCAACTAACTCTTGTTGATGGCTAGTCGTTGGCTCAGGGGCCCAACTGAGTTTGGGTTGGCCCATTTTGGTATCACAGATTTTGGAAGGTATGTCCCCACAGCTCTGGTCAAAACAATAATTATAGGCACCCTCAATTGATAGTTTGATTTGGTGGTTTGGGGGTTTGAACCCCAGTTCCTTTTGAAACAAAGTTGGGAAGGTGGTAACCTCCAACTCACCAAACTGAACCACCTGTAAAGCACAGCAGCCCACCCATGAAAGCCCTCCACCTGTGCAGGTGATGCCAACTTTGGACGCAGCGCAGACGCTGACTCCAGTGATCATGGCAGGCACCGAGCCGGGCCGTTGGCAGCGGCAAAGAATGCCCCCGATTTTGGGTTTGGTCATGCTCTTTTTATTGAAAGGGAGCTGGTCTCATCCACTTTCGCCCTGTAGCCTTGGGGCACATGGCTGCGAAACCTACTATCCAGATAAGGGACCCTAAAACATGTTTGATTTCCCTTTGAGTTCACTTCGAATAGCAATCCAAAACAGGTCAAGGAACCCGCCCGCGCGAGGATCGTCCAACCTGACAGCCGACGTGAAGATGGCAGGCCGGGTCTCACCATTTGGCCGCACGCGGATCCGCGCGGCTTCGGGTCGTGTGTGTGTGTGGGTTTGTGTGGGTGTTTTTGTCGGGGGTAAGGTCACAGATCGATTTTAAAGGGACACCAGGAGGAAGAAACACAATTTTCGGGTCTACTTTGACACATACCCGGTTGCTTGTTGCCCTGGGTTGCATGGTGTTTGGGTTGGCTGACTGGTCAGTTTACCAGTTGGTTGGCTGGTTTGTCAAATTGGTGTCCATCGGTTGGTTGTTTGCTTGCTTGCTTGCTTGCTTGCTTGCTTGCTTGCTTGCTTGCTCAAAATGGTGTTGTTTTGGATTCTCTGTTAACCAACCCAAAGATGGTGCCCTCAAAATAGACCCCCACATGGATCCACAATATATATATATATATATGAACTACATCGCTCTTCTCGCAGCCCTTGCCAGGACGAGTCCCTGCCGGCGTGCAACCGCTCTGCCGGCTTGAAGGCTGTTTGGGGCCCAGAGCTCATGCTGTCCAGATTGGCGGGGAATGTTCAAAGGTGAATCGGAGAAGACATTGAAGAGGATGCAACCAACTCAACCAACCAGCCAACCAGCCATCCCGACCAACCAGGCAACCAGCCAACCAGCCGGCCAACCAGCCAACCAACGAACCAATTCGGGCAGGGACCTCAGAGTTTTTGCAGGGCCCGGCCTGGAAGAGCTCGGTCTATCAACATTAGACATTTGTGTTGTTGTGTTTTTCCCCACAGCTGGTACTTGAATGTTCGTGGCCTTGGAAAGTTCTTGGCAACCTGGCTTGTAACCCACTACCAAGTTCCGCCAAAGAGGGGCTAACAACTTTTTATTAGCCGGTTATGCAACATTTGGCTGCCTGGCTAACCGTTTACTAACTTGGCCGAACAGCTAAGTTCGCTGTGTAAGGTCGACTTCGGATCACAGTGGAGGACCACGCCAGGAAAACAACATCCTAAAACAAAATATCTGATTGGCACGCTCTCTACCAGCAAACATGAAACTGTGGCACGACCTGAGAACGATCTTCCCGGGCGGGCCCCAGCAATCCAAACCTGACGTTGCAGGTCTGTGTTTTTCGTGCAGTTGCACGGCTCTGGGACATAACCTTTCCAGGGTTTCCTCCGGCTCCCTTTTTAGAACCTCAACCTCCCAAAAGTGGAAGTTCAAGGCAAAGCAACAGTCAATTGCATCTCTTCTTGTTGGGCTGCAAGAATTGAGCCCAAGATCTTTTCCCTGAGTCACAATAAATACTTGTTCGGCCGCCCATGTAATCTTGCTTTGGGTAGGCTATTTCAATACCATATTCTGATTTTGAATCACCTTTGGAGCTACTTCACATGATTTCAAGATGTCTTCATGTTGCGCAAAGACTCCAACAGCGTAACTTATTTTCTCACTCCCCGAGTTCCTGGACTTTAAGCTTTTGGGATACCATTTTGGTATGGACTTATGTTCGGCCAATCCACTCACGTCACCAGCATCGACGCTTTTGCAAGTCTCCGAGGCCAAAGTCAAATGCTTCGGGCCTTCGTTTGGTATTTCAAGGGAAGGGAACCGAAACATGAAAAGGGGGGCCGTTTGGGGAAACGGCGATCTTTCTGCTAGCTAACTTGGAAGAGGTACCTTCCTTTGCAAGAAGCAGGTATACCAGTTTTTGGAATGGCTGAAGCTGGGGGATTCAGCGGTTGCGTCCTTCGCCAAATTATGTACAGGGTTTAGGAGCAATCCGATTTGGGTGTGCCTTTCCTTTTTCTCAAAGACACACCTATTTTTGTTGGTCGGAGTGAACCTCAGGGTGTTAGCTTGCTTCACCTTCTGTGAAGCTCCCTCTCTTGATCCTTATTTTCAGGGCGCAGGAGTGCGAGCAAAGAGTCTCCCAGGCTTCCACATGCCACCGGCATCTCAGAGAGAGGACCCCAGTAGTGTCCTAGGGCGAATCCAAAGCCAAGCGCGTCCAAGGCGAAGAGGTGGACTTCGTCAGCGGCCGGCTGGGAGCCTTCGGCTGGATCCGCCAGGACGCGTTTGGGGCGTTTGGCCGCGCGGATGTCGGACTCCGCGTGCGCCGGACGTGATTGGAAAGCCATTGGAAAGCCATGGAGAAATGAACAGAAACTAGGTCCCCCAGGATCGTGCCCTTTTTCCGACTTTTTGGGGGGAGGGTTCCCCTACTAAGATAGACTACAGAAGAAAGGGTACCCTTATTCTATCCTCTCCACTGGAGGACCTAGTAACCCACTTCCTGAGTTCCTGGACAGGAAGTGTTGCCTTCAACCAAATCATACCAAATGAAGTCACTGACCAACTTCAAGTGGCCTTGACGCTTGCCCCAACCCGGGTTGATGTGGCCCGATGCCGAAAAAATTGTCGTTTCCTATCCGTCGGCTCCGGGATCCTCAAACTACTCATAACAAAAGCAAAGGCTAGACATCCCCTCACAGTTTCGGCGGAAACATGGTCATGTTTGTGGCTTTGGTCCAGGTAGTTCATACAACGCACGCCTAAAGCCACACGCAAACAGATCCCCAAGATCGAAGCACGCCGTCCCATAGGTCTCTCTCCCAAGCAACGGACCCGACACCTGCAAAGTACTTGGGTTTGTTTGTTGACGGCACCCCTTTTGGGTATAATTCAAGGGGAAGCCAAAGGGAAAACCAGGAATGTGGGGGTCTCCTAAACCACGATTTTCTACCCACATTTGCTGAAGGTGCCACTAGAAACACAAATGTTTACCAGTCGAGTCATCTCAGTTTTCCTGAAAACCATTTGGTAGACACAATTCATCTTCACTAAGAGAAACTACTGTGGACGAACAACATCCTGAAACTGGGATAAACCACCTACCAACTGCAACTGCTGCAGGAGTTTGTCCACCAACAGTAATCTTGACCCAGATCAATGCACCAGTCCTATCAAGAAGGGTCTTCCCCTCCAAAAGTGATGAATCCCACTAAGCCGGGATAAGGTGTGATGCCCCCTGGCACAGCTCCGGCACGTCCGCAAACTCGCGCAAACTCGCGGCGAATGGATGCATGTTGGCGGGAGATCCATGGGACCTGTTCAGAGACACCCTGAGGCAGCTTTGAGCCTTGAGCTTTGGAGGCTAGAGGTTCCCAAGAGCAACATGCAAGGTGTTATCGGAATTTTGGGGTGTCGAGCTACCAGAGGGCCAAGCTTGTAATCAGAAGGCAGGCACGATGGTTCAGACGAAGGATTTTGGTTTCCACGTTTTTTGGACTTCTCCGACCCAACTGCGCCGGCATTGGAGGGCAACCAGCTCATGGCAATATCTTGGCTCCACAGGCTTCAGAACAAGCCCATGGTTTTTGTCCTTGCTTTCATGTACCCGGGCTTCATTTGGGCTGCCTATTTTGGACCCATACCCAAAGAATGCTTTCGTTTGGTGCTGCGTTCTTTGCCCGGACACTCGACTCCCGATCGGCTCGCAGGAGGAGGAGGGCTTGTTGTCTTGCCCTTTGCCTCAGGTGCGCACTCGGATGCTGGTTTTGTGTGGTGCGGGGCTGTAGGTCATGTCCTAGCCCCGACCTTGGTACTTGCAAGCCCTTCTCGGAATTGAGCCACTGGCTTTTTGGTGGTGCAAGCCCATGTTGCTCGAACGACTCGGAATGCAAAACGACTCGGTTGTTTCTGTGCCGTTTTCTGCGCTGTGGCGCAGCTTCCAAAGCTTGAAACCTTGAATGTGCCCCAGACGCCCCAGACGCCCTTTGTTCAGCTTGTTTTCGAGGGGGCTTCCCTTCAAAAATAGCTACTTGGGTGTTCGGCCAAGTTAGTGTCTGAGGTTAGATAATTGGGTTGTTTCATCCCCGAAGAACAAGTTGTCAACCCCACATTCAAGGGGGAATCATAAGTGGGTTGTAACCAGCACTTGCCCATACGACTTACTAACTTGGCAAAGCCAACACCCAGGTGTTGGGCATTCAACCCCAACAAAAACTATCCACCATCTGAGGAGGGGTTGCATACTGGTGTGGCTCAACATTAATCAGCATGGGTTTGGAAGGCGCAGGTGTTTGTCTTTGTTCCCATTAGACCAAGGTGCCAATTCTTTTTTACAATGTTTGGAGCAATCGCCACTTGCCATATTTTAGGGCACACCTTCGGCCTTCGGTTTGGAGGTCTTAGGATACCCAAGCTTCTCAATTATGGCCGCCAACGGCTCTGCAAAATGGCGCCTCAATGCCCACCGCGCTTGGCAAAATGGTCGCGGAGACCGATGACTCCGAAGCCCAATAGAACCCGCAAAGGAACGTAGATGTCTTCGGCTTTCCGTAAACTTCAACCTTGCTTTATCTATGTGGGCGTGGCTCAAAATTTAAGAGCCAGGGTTACGCAGGATTTAGTCTTTGGTTCCGTTTACCAAGGTGCCTTTTTGGGCTCCTATCTTTGAGCCACAGCCATGTCTTTCTGTTTTGTTTTTCCTTCTTTCTTTGTCTCTTGCTCTCTCTCTCTCAGATCTCTCAGGGGTCGACCTTTGACATATCCTTGTGGGGTCAATTCGGGTATTTTGACTAGATCCGGGTCTAGATAGCGACGTTGCCGGCGTGGTTGTTTTTTCCCACCGAGACGGCACATGGGGATAGATCATGTTCTCACAGCTTGCAGACCTCTTTCATTCCCTCCAGAAGCGGGGTGTGGAAAAACTCTTGTTTGGTCAAGAGGCATTGGCATAACCCAGACACCCCCAGTGGAGTTGCAACTCTTCTAAAAGGTGATCCTGGACCCTCAAACTACCCATACAATATGGATTATTGCAATGCACAATTTTGGTTGGTGATGTCCCAGTTTTTCGGTTCCAGGTACTGGCCAACCGGGGCAAACGGGCAACGGTGTCCTTTTCTGAGATTTGAAAGCAGCTGGCCCGTGTTTGGTTTACTTTACTGTTGTTGGCAAGTGTTTAGGCGGTTTGGTGTTTTGGTTCTGTTCATGCTTTGTCGGGGGCTGCAAAAAAAAACAAAAGGGTTGTTGCTACCATACCAAGGGTTGTAAAGTTTAATCTTCTACCAGTGACATCCATTTTTCCACAAGGACGCCTGCACTGTGGCAATATTTGGCACATTCTTATTAAGTAAATGGACAAGTAAGTAAAAGCTGCGCTCTCCTGAACGTCTCTTAAATTTTCAACTACATGCATTTGGGTCTGCCTTTTTTGGAGGCACCTTTTGTTGGCTGAAGGACAACCGCTATTTGTTAGTGTAAGGTGCCGTTTACTTGGTGGCTCCCACCCATCCCCTTAGCTTTGTAGCCTTTTAATGTTGGTAATTTCCATTTAACCCAAAAGTGAGTCACTTTTAGCGGGGGATCTGAAAAACGGGCAGCCCAGGTTTGGCTCAAAGATCCAAATCCCCGGTGTAAGGTTCAACGTCTTCCGAAGCGCCGTCCGCAGGTGGCCCAAGTCTGGGCAGGGCTTTCGGGCCGCTCCACGTGCCACCTCCGCTTGTCGTCGGGCTGCCCAGGGCCGGCAGTCGGAGGGACGGACGGGCCAAGCCATTCCATCAATATGGGTTTGTCATTTGTTTGTATATATCATAATTATATCATTATTGTATTCTTGGCGGGGATACCCATTTTTTTTGGTGTTAAAGGAAACCAAGAGGAAAACAACTGTTTGTTTGTTTTTTGGTGCGGGTTCTCAAAATGAGAGGACCCTCAAAAGTCGTGGTGTTCCTTTTGGGCAACCCCTTCACATCAAACCAAACGTGCCCTCGCAAAGAAACACACCATATTATGAATGACATGTCCGCAAGCACTTCGATGAGCAAACTCATCAAACATAGACCGAGCAAGCAATGATGGGCCTATTGCGTTGTTTGTTGGTATGGCATTGACAGGCACTGAGTTGTGTCTTGTGTATCTGGAGGTGATCATTACATGTTGTTTGCATGACGGCTTGGTTCCAACAAGCCCAGGCTGGCTGCAAAATGTGGGGTGAGCACATAGGCTCGTCTTTTTGAGGTAGAGAAACCCATTTGTTGGTTAAAAGTAAACCAAAAGGAGACCACCCTTGTTGGGGTGTCAAAGCCCTAAGAAAGAGAACCAGTTGTCCGTTTCCCAAGCGAACCATCAGACAGGATGCGAGGCCGACATGTGGCTGCCGTCAAAGCGAAAGATTTGGGCGTGTCTTAAAAGAACGGACCCCAAAATGGTTGTTTCCTGTTTTGGTCTCCCTTCTCGCCAAGAATGCAGTAAGCCCTGGTGGTATCAACAGCACCTTTCTGGGAGAGTTTTCGGGAGCCCTGGACTGCCGTCCTCTCGAGCCTGTGGCTTCCAGTTGCTATGTGTGCCAAGGTCAAAAGACCCCTTGGGGTTGGCAGGGATGGTCACGCACCTGGTAGTATGTATTCTTAGTCACCGTCGCAATGATTCCTTTTTTCGGGAACCATGACCATAGCATATATGGGTGTGTCTTTTTTCAAGGGCATCCTTTTTTTTGTGGTTTCAACGGATAACCAAAAGGAACAACACCAATAAACGGGGTCCCCAAACAAAGGGAGTTTTGACCATGGCACATGTGGAACCAATAACGGGAAACCCGGATTAATCAACTCCTGGTTGATTTTGATCGGGGTGTCCCGTTCCTAGTGGGAGTCCAGACCACTTTTGGAGGGAACACCTCCCCAAGGAATCTTGCTGGTGCGATAGGTGGAGAATGTGGGAATGAACCCAGGCTTTGGTCCCCTTCAAGGAACCCACTAGTTGGATGGTTTAATTATAAGGGACATTCCAACTCATTCCCTGCCTATGGTCTCGAGAGACCAATCTGTGCTGAGGCTGAACGGCGGCGTGCACTGGTCTGAGCCTCCAATTGCGCTATGCTCGGAGGATGCTCGCGTCAGTTCCCCTTCTCCCCTGGTTGAAATCTCATCGTTGGGTCAATTGTGATTGAGTTTGCTTTCGGTTGGCTGTTACTTTTTATTAGAGATGTGAACGAGTTTTGCTGGGAATGCTGGGACTTGCGCCGGAACGGCTTGTTTTGCGTATATGATTCAACCGTTTCTCAGGCAGTGGTCAAATTCAGCCCGCTTCCGCTTCCAGGTGTTGGCATGACTTGGCTGCGGAAGCCCACAGAGGAGTCTGTAGCGTGCATCCCGCTTGTTTGCTCATGTTTGTTGATTGAAGTACGTGGCACCCCATGTTTCGGCTAAACACATATTAGTTGCCAATTTGTTTCCACTTGGGTGACCTAAAGGAAAAACGAGCAGTCGATCAAGTGACTCTGTGGGATAAATCAACATGCCCTGGGCGCCTGCCACGATGTCAACCTTGCCCCTGACTCGTGCGAGCAAGCAGCGTTCGTGAGGTGAGACAAAGAACCCAACACGTTACAAGCCATGGCCATTCTCCTTTCAAGTTGAGGACTGGGCGGTAAGGCAATCCTGAATCCTTACTGTTCAAAGCGAATCCTTACTCCTTACCTATGCAAGGGCTCTCTTTTTTTGGCTTTCCAATTGGGATTGTGGAAAATAGGATTGGGCAACATTCCATTTTGAACAGTACAGGAGGAAACAAGTGAAGCAAATGCAGTCACTCCTTCCGGAATAAATATGAAGCCAAATTTCTTAAGAGGGTCCGTTGAGTTAAACAATCGCCTAATTTGCAGAGCCTTCTTAGGCAGGTTTCGGGATGTATAGCCCTGCCTCAGTCCAAAAGAAAACGACCTGTTCATCTTTTGGGTTTCTTTGGTCCATTTTTAGTCATGGCCCCGCAAGTTTCATCATTTCTTAGTGGGTCCTTTGGGCAACTGAGAAATTGATTCCAATCGTTAGCAGCTTATTCCTACTCTTGGTATGCCAAAGTCAAGGTGTCCAAAGGTTAGCCAGTTAGTTTCGGTCCTTTGGACAGAGAAACTGCCCATACCAACCATTGTTTTGTGTATGGCTTTGCTTCCAAAAAGCTTCATCTCACTTGACGGCTGCTAGGGAAGTCGCCGCAACCTCTCGAAAACGGTAAGGATGTGGCTTTTGTGGATCCACCCCTTGTAGAATATCAAAAGAGTACTAAAAGATAACACCACATTTTCACAGGGCCGGGAGAAGACGGGTGAAATCCACAAGCGCATCCAAACCGTTTTCAAGACAACCAAAGCTACGGCCGGATATCCACCCTGTGGATTGTTTGCGTGGCTTAGGCAAGTATGAATGTAAGCGGAAACCACCTTACAAGCAGTGGGTGGACATGAATCTTCTCCTAAATGACGTCCACCGAAGGGTCCACAACCCATGAACATTGAGACGCATATATAGGTGTGTTGCTTTGATGGTACCAACCTTTTTGAGTGGTCTTAAAGAAAAGGAAAGCCACCTTTTTGTGTTGCTTCGAATGGTACCAAAAAGGAAAACCGCCGATTTTCAGGGTCCCCCAAAAAGGAAAACCACTGAGAGCCGACGGAAGCTGCCTGCGAGGCTCTGACCGTCTTGGCAGCCCCCAGCCTTTTCGACGCCAGCCCCGTGCGAGTGAGCCCCGCCCCCGGTGCGGAAGTCGTTCGGGGGGGGGAGCGACTCAATCCATTTCTTGACACGACTCGAAGATAGGCTTAAATTTAGGGGGTCTTCTTTTTGAGGGGTAATGAACTGCCCCTGGGTTTAAGTTGACCTGAGGTAGTCAGAAAGTGGAACCCTGTAACGACACGTTTGGATCCCCTGGAAGGTATATCTTATGGATCGCTCACCAATTTGGGGGTAAACGGATTTCACTTTGATACTGGTCCGTTAGTTGGAGATCTGTTTTTCAGGGTTTTGTTTTATTTGTAGGAGTTGCAGAGGTATTAAGATGGCCACAATTACAGGAATCCAGCTGTATGTGGTTAGCGGCACTTGTGGACAAAGTTGCTCAACGGATGCATGTTGGCCATGTTGAGAATCACATTCACTGTATCAACCAGAGTCGGACGCGGTATGGCCATGAAAGTTAGGGAGCACCCGCCAGAATGGTAAGCAGTGAATTGCGGGGGTTTCAGTTTAGGTTCCTTTGGGACCCAACTCCAACCAATCCCTCGCAGAGAAGTCGGGCTTTCGGTGTCCCGTACGTTGCTTTCAGAAGAAACCGGTTCGGCACGCAGGGGAAATCACCATCACCCGAGTCACAGCTGCTTCTCACTTCCTGAGTTCATGGACTTTAAGCTTTTCCAGAAGACCATTTCGGTGGTAAATGCAAAGTCCAGTTTTGTTTCTGCCAATCCACTCGATGGGAAGTGAGGCTTTTCTGTCCAAAAGCCCAAGTACGGCAGCAACAAAAGCAGCTGTTGGCACCCGGGTGCCGGCCGGGGTCCATGGTTCAGGATCCTTATGCAAGATCCACACCTCATGGTTGTCGTTGGGAAACATTTTACATTTTGCTTATTGCAGTTTAGTGGTTGAAATCCCCACTGAATTGCTAAAAAAATACACCAGCATAGACCCCAGATAGCACACCACAGCTACGAACCATGACGCAGCATCATAATCATGATGATGTTGACACTATCATGATGATGTTGACAGCAATATGCTGATGCACCAGTCACGAACGATTCCGCGCTACATATCTAGCAGAAGAAAAAGGCAGAACGATGAGTTCGACAGCATCATGATGGTGCAAACAGCATCATGGTGACGCGGACAGCACCACCATGATGCGGACAGCATCATGGTGATGGTAAAGGCAGCATCATGATTCATGATGATACCACAGCCGCAAATCATCTTGCGACAGCGTCATGAAAATCAGCATCATCCTGATGTTGACAGCATCATGGCGCCACCACACCCACGAACCATAACGCAGCATCGCAGTGACAGCAGCATCATGACGTGGTTGACAACATCCTGATGAAACACAAGAACCGAATCGTTTCAACAGCATCATGATGCTGCGGACAGCATCATAACCACGATACCCCAAACAGCGCCCGCCCTAGCACCCTGCTGTCCATATGCGCCCGCACCATCACCAACACCTAAAAACAGCAGCCCCAACCCAGCACCCGCGCCAGCACCGGACACGTCCCCGAGCACCCTGCCGTCACGTACGGTCACCAGCCCGCACAGCACCCCCCAAAACTGCACCCAGTACCCCAAAGCGCACGCCGCATGCCCCCTAGCTCCCAGCAAAACAATACCCCTATGGCTTTCCGCCATCTGGGAAAATAATCGCCCGCGCGGTCAGCAGCACCTCAAAAAGCAACTCAAAACAGCACTTGCACCACCACCCCCAAACTGCGTGCCCCCTAGCACCCGCCGCCAATCTCGGAAAATTGCGCCCACAACGTCACCAGCGCCGCATACAACACCCCAAACAGTACCACAAAATGCGCCTGCACCATCAGCAGCACCTTAATCAAACCAAACAGCACCCCAGAGCAGCACCTGCACCAGCACCACAAACTAAATGCCCCCTAACGCTGAGAGTCCTCCGCCAGCGTCGCAAACTGCATGACTGGCCGTCAAATCTCGCACCTCCGCCAAAACCCCAAACTGCATGCCCCCTAGCACCCGGCCGTCAAGCTCGCAAAACAGCACCTCCACCAACACCCCAAACTGCATGCCCCCTAGCACCCGGCCGTCAAGCTCGCAAAACAGCACCTCCACCAACACCCCAAACTGCATGCCCTCTTGCACCCCGTCAAGCTTGCAAAGCAGCACCTCCACCAACACCCCAAACTGCATGCCCTCTAGCACCCGGCCCTCAATCTCGCAAAACTGCACCTCCGCCAGCACCCCAAACTGCATGCCCCCTAGCACCCGGCCCTCAATCTCGCAAATCACTTTCCCTCCTTATTAGAAGTTAGAACCCCTATAGCTTTCAGCTATCTGGGGAAAAAAATATATGCTCCCCTTCCAACCTCAACCAAGACTTGTAGCTATGGATCAAGTACCCTTCCCACGGACATGTCAATCTTGTGGTCCTGGGGCCCAAGAGCCACCCGTCTACGAAGCAAAATGATCCCAGGCAGTTCCCAGCCAGACTTTTGGTAGCTGAGAAATATATGTACTAATCTCCTCCCCCAATTAATGAATGACCCCCATTAATAGGGAGGGGGGGCGTATTTATTAATAGGGGGAAGAGATTAAGGACTTGGGTGCTCCTTGCCAAGTTAGTGAGTGAACTGCTTGGTTAGGACTGAGCCACTTGTAGTTTTTCGTGGATTGGTTGGTTATCTACTTGTTATTGGGCGGTGAACAACCCACCAATTGGCTGACCACCCACACTAACTTGGCCAGTGCGTGAGGACGCTAAGCCCAACGAAAGCGCTAAGTCAAGAGCAGCCCCAGCAAAACAGAGCAAGATCACCAACCAAGAGCTGGAAGAGCTCGAGTGTGCGGACCGATCCTGTGGATTCCATGCCTTAGGGGCCGGCGACTCTGCCCGACTCAGCGGAGGAATGGAAAGCATGGGACTGGGGCACAGGAGCACACGAGCAGGTCAAGCACCAGGACTACCTTCCAAGCTGGGGACTTCGATACCAGTGAAGCCATGGATGGACCAGTTCCACAGACCTGGGAAAAATGGCGTCTAGCAGCCTGCGCGACGGCAAATGGATGTGCGGCCTGGCTATGTATGCCGCCGCCCGGCGGTTGGGCATCAAGATAGTGGTCGTTGAAGGTCGACAAGCCCGCGGTCAGGGCGGTGTTCGGAAAAACACACGAAGGCGGGCGACCAGTGTGTCTTCGCAACCATTGTAAGGGGGCGTTGCCGCTCGCTTCCCAAAGCATTGATGCAAATGAGGGAAGGGGGGGTTGAGAAGCATGTCCGCTGGGCAATGTGGCGCTAAATCGCGCATGTTCTATGGCCCCTAAATCCAAAAGGGCATGGGCGGCGCTCCCGATTTAATAGTGACCCCATATTAATCAACCCCAGTTCATTTAACAGGGTCGGTGTCCCTGGAATCATCACTTTTGGAAGGGCCCCCATCCCCCTATGAACAAGCTGGGTTGGATCATATAATATGAGATCAACATTAAGGCCTTGGAGTTTCGATACGCGTTGGGATGATGGGATCTCAGAACCACCCTGTTGGCCGGCATGTCTTTTTCCCCGTGAGGTGCGGACATGTTCTGCGAGAAGTGCACGGTGGTGGATCTGATTGGCAGCCCGGGACTTTGGAGAAGTCAGTGAACCCCGGATTAATAAGCTCCTGGTTGATTAATGGGGGGGTGTGCCCTTTAGTGGGGATTCATCACTTTTGGAGGCGGATCTAAGTAGAACCCCTGGTTGATTCATGGGGGGGTGTCCCCTTTTAGTGGGGATTCAGACCACGTTTGGAGGGAACATGCCAAGAGTGGGTCGGGTTTATTAATCCTGGGTCAACATGAGTGCCGGAGATTTTTCCGACGGAAGCCTCACAACGAAGAACATCGAGTCTTTGCCCCTGTGTCCAAACTGTGCCCCAAAAGGTCCAAAAAGGCCAAAGTCATGGCCCAAAGTCATGGCTTCCGTTTTAGGGGCCCCAAAAAGGCATGTAATTTCTGGGTAGGGCTGAGAACAAAAAAGGAGGTGTTTGGTGTGTCTTGTTTGTTGAGGATACCCCTTTTGAAGTCTTTGTTTTCCTTTTATATGGCAAAAGGAGACCGACCATTCTTGGGCGTTTTTAATTTGAAGACCACATGATGTGGATTAGCTGGCAACTAGCATGTTTGTGTCTCAAATGGTTGCTTTTGGACACACCCTCCAGAAGAAGACGTGCATAAGAGCCCGCCCTCGCTGAACGAGGGCTACACTTCTGGGCTGCACTTGTTTGTTGGTCTACCCTGTCGGCTCCATGTGGGTGTGCCTTTTTCGAGGGACCCCTTTTTGGTTTGTTCTAAAGGAAAGCCAAAAGGACAACCACCGTTTTGTCGGTCTGAACAAAACACTTGCACACGCACACGCACACACACACACCCATGTTTGTTTGTGCTGAAATGGAGGTCAGGTTGGCTGAAGTCCTCCAAACCACCAAGCGATAGCCCGGATGGTCCCCATGGATGTTCATTGCCAAGCGAAGTGGTTCGGTTTTTCGCCCCACCAAAAAAGGTTAACCTCACGTTCACGGGGGACTTAGAAGTCAAAATCACAACAACTTGCTAACTTGGCAACCAACACGCAAGTAGTATGTCCCTGGACCCTCAAACGACCCATATGGGTCATTGCCCCTCAATTTTGGGTGATTTTTCTTTTTTAACGGTACATTGAGAATCGGTCTAGGTTGATTATGACTTGTAAGTTCTCAGTTCAGAGGGCTCAGCCATCGTTTGCTTCTCCTTTTCGCTCGATCATTTTGGTTTCGGCGTGACCGGAATATTGAAAAACACATTTTTAATAAAAAGCAGAAAGATTGGACTTCTCTGGCCACTCCACTCGGGAAGAGAGTGTCGATCCTGAGGCCACTTCAACCACGCGCTGCAAAACGACACCACTACGCCTCGGTGTTGGTTGGGAGAGACGGAGGCAGGGCCGATGCTGACATTCGGTTTTTGTGCCACTTTCCGTGATATTGTAGATGGTGGGCAACATCCGCTTCACTGTTGGCAGGTGGTTTGACCCATTATCTACAGGGATTCATTTATCTCAACTAGTGCAGAATTTTGTCACCCACAGGACCAAGGGAAGTAGTTTGAAGTGTTAAAGTAGTGCTGGGAAATCCCACTTACATCTCGCGGAAAAGGTTATTGTCACAGCCAGAAATGCCATGGAGAACATACCACGGCTCTTGGTGTTATGCGCCGGATGAATGAATCTTGGTGACTTGTTTCCATGTGCACCACACTTGGGATTCGCCGTGGTTGTGTGGTGTTTGCGTTTTTTTTTTGTAGGGGGGAGGTGGAGTTCCTTAAAAACGCTGCAATCCAAAACATTAATTACCGTTGTAATGCAATGAAGCACCCAGGGAAGCCATGGACCCAGTCGAGGAGTTTTCATAATATGCAGCCCCCCACCTGATCGAAAGATAATATTTGAGAAATGTTGCCCAAGGAAACCACAAAGGAATATAGTGCAAAAAACGGAGGGATATAATGAATTGAATGGATTGGATGGATTGGATGGATTGGATGGATTGGATGGAGTGGATGGAGTGGATGGAGTGGATGGAGTGGATGGAGTGGATGGAGTGGATGGATGTGCACAGGGGTGGGGTTCCCTAAAAGGAGAGTAGTCTTCCAAGCCCCTCCTCCTCTGTCAGCTTCCATGATTGTTGGAGGGAGGGTAACCTTTGTAAACGGGAAACCCCTCCTTTCAGTGAACGCTTTGTGGTTTGAAAGGGGAAACCAAAAGGAATCCAGCCTGCAAGTGCGGCGCAAATGGCGACGACCGCTCTGTCCGGCTTGCCGCTTGCTATCATGTGATGAGACGTTGCGCTTGGAAGCCAGCCGAGGGCAGCCTCCTCAAGTGGCACATTCATATGGAAGCCAACCTCTGTTGGTTAATGTGGGGTGTCCCTGGTTTAGTGGGGAAGCATCACTTTTGGAGGGGCCCCCCACCCCTATATTAATAAACTGGGGTGATTAATGTGGGGTCAACATGATCGCTCCGATCGCCAGTTGAGCTCAACTGGACGATCGAAGTTCGTCGGTCAGGGCACCGTGGTGGCGGTGACCCACAACGTGACCACCTGCTCCTTCCACGGGGGCCCAGTGCGAATCCGACCCGACCGCACGCCGGGGGCCTCGAAACGAGTGAAGACTCCTGCGAGGCAATGGCCCCATATGGGGGTGAATTTCCCTGCTTTGAGTGGGGCATCAGACCACTTTTGCAGGGCCCCCCCCCAATATAAGGATTCAGGGGCATAGGTGTCCTTTTTGGTTGGTTTGCTTACAAAATAGAGGGCCCTGGTTTAGATGGGGTTTCTTCCATTTACCAGGGCCATCTATGTTTCCAAAAGGCCACCTATGTTCGGGGGTTGATTTTTCCGGGAGTCAACATTCTGGGTTTGTTTGTTGATTTATTCGGGTACCCTTTCTCCTAACACAGAGACACATCCCAGCTTAATCACGGGTGGTTGGGATTTCCCTTTGAAGGGTAGGACCCTTTCTCAAAGAAGTGATATGGTAAATCCAAGAGACACCACCCATGTTAGGGGTTCCCCTATTTAGAGGCAAGCCCATATATTTATTACGAGCTCACCGATCTGCGGCCAAAGCAAGCAAAAAACGGTGCTCCTAGATATCCAACTCTTATTTCAGGTTTTGGAATAGGACAATTTGCAGGTAACATATATGTGGCTGACTATGATGGTACCATTTTTACCGCTGGGTTTAAGGACGGTCTGAGCGGGAACTTCAAGTTCTGAAATCCATTTGGCAGCTCGGCAAGTCTGATTCAGAGCCACAACAAGGGGAGCCATGGGAAGGTTATTATGGCTCTTGATGATCCTGAATGGCCCACGTAGTCACCAGTAATCACTATTGGGCTGCTCCCCTTGACATGGCTCTAAATCGGTATAGAAATCATTGCGGTGCCATGTTCAACTAACCCTTTGTCGACTGCAACTCATGCACCGTAATTCGGTGGTGGTATAATTTACCCACAATTATTTTCTCTTGTCTTTAAGGTGTACCTGAACCCTCCAACTACCCATAAAATTGGGGGGTATTGCAACCCACAATTCTAGTTGGTGACTTTAAGGTGTACCTGAACCCTCAAAGTACCCATAAAAATGCGGGGGGTTATCGGAAGTTGGTGACTTCTCGACTTCTCTTTTTGTGTACCCTTCTCCTGTTTATGGCTAGTCTGAGGGCTCAGGCATGTCCCAAACCTCTACCCTTCATGCACCGCGCTTAGGGCCGCCGACACGCGGGCGCTGGGCGGGGGCCTCTTCGGCGTGTCCATCTCGGGGTCTGGAGGCCCAGTCCGCAGACGTGAAGAACCTGAGGAGTGTCAGAGGTGAAGAACCCCCCAGTTTTAGTCGGGTAGTCATAGGTGTCCTTTTTAGGTGAGCCTGGTTAAAAATGGATGGCACTGGTTTAGATGGGTGCTGTTCCATTTACCAGGGCCATCTATTTTTCCAAAAGGCCACCTATGCGGGTAGTTCTTTCGGGGTCCGGGTAGAAAGTTGACTCTTGTCGAAGTTTCGCCCAGAAACATAGGTGTCCTTTTTGGTTCGCTGGAAGAATAGATGGGTTTTCCTGGTTTACCTGGTGGTTTCATCATCTACCAGGGCCATCTGTTTCCCCTAAAAGGACACCTATGAATGTCAGCATTTGGAAGGAGAGGGGTGTTCAGACTTCCTGTCGATGGTTGCGAAATCCGTTCGCACCACGAAATGAAACCATAGGTTGAAACCATTGTTGGTTGGGAATTTACAGAGGAATCGAATCAGACACCAGGGTTTAGTTATGGATTTGCAGATATACCACCACAAGATTGCTTTTCAGGTGGTATATAGTTACCCCTAGAAGTGGTCTCTAAATCAGTTTCACAGCCAGACCACCTGCCTTTTGAGTCTGCTTTGGCCCCGGTTTGAGTCCCGGTCTGGCGGTTCGGCCACGGGATGTTGAGGGCATTCTGGAAGGAGTGCTAAGGTAGAACACACCAAAGGAACGTTGGACTTCCAGGTTCAACACCGTGGACAGATGCCGCCAAAGTCAATAGCATGTTTAGGGATGTATGTACGACACATAGAAGGGGTGTATTCTGCCAGCTTGTAAGCATCCTGAGGACCTGCGGAACTTCAGGCGCATCCATGGATGATATGGTTTTTCATGTGTTGCCAATGAAGGACGTCCGGGGCCTCCCCAAGTTTCATATCAAACCACGTTGAATCAGAGGGCGATGAGCCAATGCGGGGCTCGCCTTTTTTGGAGTTGGTAGAAACGGAAAGGAACACCGAAGCCAGGGGGGGGGGAGGGTCCTGAAAAAAGACACCCCCCAATTTGCGGTATGTGTTGGAAATCAGAAGCTCTCTTAGTGCTTGGCTTTGAAACAAAGCCACAGGAAACCGGACAGGGGGCAAGTCGGCAAAGAGATCATGAACGTGCCGAAGTATATGGCTGTGGCTCAAAAAACTGCGCCACCGGGGGATCAAGACTCGCGTGAAAGGTACCTCTCCATGACCCTTTAAAAATGGGGTCGTTAAACGTTACCCTAAATAATGGGGTCATGGACCAATTTTCAAAGGGTCATGGAGAGTCTAGGTATGGTGCTTGGAGGTATGGATGCGCAGATATACCACCAAAAAGGCTTGTAATGCACCCGACAAAAAGTGCTATATACCCTCCATACGGCCAACACCCATCCAATCCAGAATTCCTGCTACGCTTCTCTGCCTCTTTGGTGTTGTTTTTTTGTTGTTTTGGCAAGATGGGCGAGTTTCTTGTGAGGGTTTTGCCGCTTTGAAGTTCTTCGGGCTCCGTGTGTAGCCGACTTGATTCCATGATCCTCAAGCCACCAACTTGTTCTTCGTATGAGTGAAGCCCTTCTGGAGGGCGCATTGGGTGTGGTTCTCAAAATTAAAGAGCTCTCGGGCGAACCGCGGGTTTGAGTCTCTGGTTTCCATTTACCGGGGTGTACTGGGGTTCCGTTTTGGGTGCCCAGTTTTCTGAGCCACAGCCATTGGGTTGAACCAATCCAAAAAGCGATCCTCACCTATACCAGTCCATCGGAAACCGCTCCGTTTCACCCTCTTACCCAAAGTCCACATCTTGCTGGTTTGACAGGCAGGGAATGAGAATTGGAATGACCCCCAAGCAAAACCATCCACGAAAGGTTTCCTTTGTTCGGGAATCCCAAAACGGTTCCTTCCCAACACCCGGAAGCTCGTTGTCATGCCCTACCTATCGCACCAGAAAGTTAAGTTCCCTGGAGAAAATGGAAGCACATATGTCCAGCTCCCATTTGACCCGACAGCGAATCCCATTTGGCTGTGGGTCAAAACCCTGTACTCCTGGTGAACATCAAAATAGGTGGTACATGGGTGTTCCTCCGCAGAATGGAGGCATAGGTTATGACCCATGGGCATAAAAAAACCAACTGGGAATCCCATTTAAAGCAACCAGCTTCGAAAACGGGAAGCTCGAGCCGTTCGCCCAGCTGGTTTTGGAAAGCTGAGAACTGGCAGCGACTCCCAGGCCAGTGCTCAAGGACCCCGCGGCGCCCGCACCGCCGGTGCTCGTCTTTGCCGGGAGCCTTAGGGCTCTTAGGTGCCCACTGCAAAACGTCCCGCCTCTTTCTCTGTGTTGTTTGGGGGGCAGCATGGCCAACGAGCAGGTGTTTACCCTGTAAAACGTTCTCTCCCTGCCACTAACATGGCACCTGACAAGGGGTCGCTTTGAGAGGAAACTGATCTTCCAAGTACCCTGCTGGGCTGCCGCAGGTGCCATGTTTCTGGGAGGAAGTGTGGCCTTTCAAGATATACCCCAACCGAAAGGAGGGTATTGTGAGAAGGGGGCAGACTTAAACCCGGGTTCAAGTCCTTCCGGTTGAACCATGGTACCCTGGTTGGGAGCGTGGATCAATCCAGCGAGTTCTCCATGCAGGTTGATTAATTGTTTCAACAAGATTCTTGGATGCTCTATGTCTGTTCAATTCGCTAAGTTAGTGTTTGGGGGACTTAAAAGTGTTCGATGGTAACTGGGACAGCAGTTTTGGGGGCTACTTTGATCTTTAACCTTTTTTGTGGGGTAGTGGGGGAGTATGTTATTTTGAGGGTACCCTTAATGGGCCGAGTCTAAAGGAGAACCAGCGCGACACCAATATTCTGTTGGGTCCTATATGTTGAGACACACCCATGTCTGCTTTCTCACTCACCGAGAAAAGGCATGCTTTCTGCGCAGGGCCGCACGAGTCAACAGACTTGTGCGGTCTAGGTTTCTCCTGCACTTGTCCAAGCCACCAAGGCGTACCTCCCTTGCGATGTTCTGTTCGCAAGAAAGCACTTTGCTGTCTCTGAGTCTCCCCCCGGCCACCAAGGATTAACTCCCTTGCGATTCGTTGTAGGACAGTGCCAGCGATTCTTCGCATGGTCGTCCAGCATGCTGTCGAGTCTCCCGCTCCCGTGGTGTTGAATCATAGGTGTGAAGAGACGTTGGAGCTTTCTCAAGTAGATGGTTTCTTTGCCTGGCTTCAGCACCCTCCAACCACTGCTTTTTTGTTGCCGCAAGGGGATGTTGGTTGCGGGGGAACAGGCAGTGATTCGGGGGGGGTTTCCAGCCTGGTTTCATGGCGTCCCGGACTCCCCCCTCTCCCCAAGTTTCCCAGATTTCAGTTGTTGTTTTTTGCCTCCAACCATGTAAGACAAACCCAGCGTTTCCTTCCCAAGCGAGGTCAACGATCCGCCGGTCATCAACGAGGTAATGCCTACGCTCATGTACCAGGAGCAGGGTAGGCGCCTCTACGCCCGGGGCTCAGCGAGAACATCCCAACTGAACGAAATGTTGTTGTTCAATCATGGACCATGGAACCAAACTTTCCTTGGTATGAGAACCAAAAAACAGTAATTGGGGGGGGTGGGCGGGGGTGCTGGTTGAGATATTTTTTCTCTGTTGGTTTTAAAGGGACACAGAGTCGCTACTGGACATATGTTTGTTTGTTGCATGAGACTAAGCAAAATGAATGCTTGGTGGGGATCAGGTTTGGCGGGTGGTCGGCCTTAAAACGGTTCTTGTGCGAAGAACACATGTGGCGACATCGCATTTGTTTAGTTAGTTCATCCTGATGTTGATTCAGGGCTTTTCATTTAATCCACTAAAAGTTAAACTTTCAGCAGCGGATCTGAACACGACAAATCAGATTTGATTCCCTTTTTGCCAACTCCAAAAAGGGAGCCTCAAAAGGCCACACCATGGGTCCATGGGTTTAAAGATTTTCTGGGCTTAGAGATCACCTTCCCTCGTGGGGCCCTCGTCAGGGGTGATGCCTTGGACTCAGGTCTACGGCGCCCACTTCCCTCGGGAGCCTGGCGGCGACTGCGTCTTCTTTGCAGATGCGAACACCTCAGGACGCGGACGGCACGCGACGGGTGGGATGCTTCCGGTTAGTTCAGCAGAGTTTGGGTCGTGGAACCTGGAAAATAAAAAAACGGATTTGCATAGTATCCTTTTGAGGACCCCGTGTTTTTCGTTTGGGTTCTATGTCAGTTTGCAGCATGGCAGAAGCCGTGAAAAGTGGACGACATTGACTATACACGCTCCAATTGTATTTGACTTTCTTGATAGATGTATCAATGAGCTCGATTTCCTGACGTGTACATTAGGTGCAACCAGGCAGGTTTCTACGCATAGGTAGCTGTCCCACGCGATCATGTTGTTCGATCTTGCGCAGGTTGGTCTGTGGCGAACATTTGCTTGGGTCCTGAGCGGTGTTCCAGGGTTGGCAGAAGCGTTGGCGTACACTTGGCACAAGGACAGTTGAGCCACAATCAAAACCCGGGTATAGATGAAGGTTAGTTAGGGACGATCCCAACCATAAATAGCTGCGGCCGCCTTCTTAATCCTGTATATGGTTCTGGGTAGACTATTTTAGTACCAGGATTTGATTGCGACTCAGTTGTTCCCAAAAAAGGGGGTGTGCACTTCTATTCTTGATATGATAGGCCAGCTCAATTGGACCAAGCCCAGCTGCGGATCAAGACTCCGAGACTGACGGACCGCTAAAGCGGCGGACCCTGCTTCATGCTGTGCCTCCTGTTGCTGGTGCTGGCGAATGCCGACACAGTCAGCGATCAGGCAAGGTTGGGTTGGCTGGTGTCAACCAACCCGCAACCCTGAACCAAGCCTAAACTCAAAACCACATCCAAAGGAGTGTGGAGGGTCGTGTGTGCAGTTGATGCGTGTACACAGAGGTGGCTACGCTTGACTGAAGTATGAGCAGACAATAGATAGGTAGATAGACAGATACCTGACCCATATAATTGCTCGAAGAGGATTGGGGTGGTTTTCCTTTTTCAGCGTATCTTGAGGGTCCAGGTAGACGGATAGTCGGAAAATCTTCTCCGCCGGAGGCTTGGGAGCACTTTGGCATGGTAAATCAGCTGCGGGCCGAAGGGTACACCTGTCCTAATGGCGCGAGCTACGCGCCGAACCCCACGCCCTTGAACTTCGACTGCCGCCTCTGGCGGGCGTCGAGGCTTCACTCGGCGCCTCGGCCATGCCCTCCTTAGATGAGTTGTTTTTTGGGGGTGCGACATCCCTTCTGGAAAAAAACACAAAACAGTAATTAACAAGCAACTCTTGGACCTGTGGCCAACGGCACCACTCACTTTTTTTGAGCCCCCCTCACACTGATTGAGCCCTCAAATGCGTGGCTTTGCAGGTAGGTTTCTGCATCCGTTGAAGCCCCACATGCCCAGGCAGACTCGCAGGGTCGAATTTGAACTGCACATGGCCCTGACCAGTTTAGTGAGCAACACAGACCTGGTTCAATTCCATGTCCCCCATAAAACACATAAATGGAATTGGGGGACCGAGACGCACCCCCCTCCCCCTAGGGGGGGGATACTAAATCCAGTGGATTTGCTCGGCAAACGAGGAGGACATGGCCAGCCAGAACTACTTCTCCCACACCTCCTTGGACGGCCGCTCTCCTTGGGATCGAGCGGAAGAGCAGGGCATCAGCGCCAACGGGGCGACTCACTGGCAAAAAAATCGACCGGATCTCGCCGAGTCTGGTTTCCCCCACGTTGGTCGATTTGCTCGACCTTTTGTTCTTTGGGTTTCCCCAGGTGGCCATGGGTCAAAATCCAAATCGTACCCCCAGTGAACATCCCAATCCCCACTAAAGTAGGTTCTAAAATGGGTGGTCACCTACCAACCAAAATGGGATCCCAGAACGGTTTTGACAACCACAGCCATGTTGGTCTAGTTGTCGCCAATTCTCCAAAAGGTCCACCGATATTTTCTGGGTCCTTGGGGGCACCTGAGGAGAACATCGCTGCGGGCAGCCGCTCGGCACGGACAAATCAGGTTCACGACCTTTTTTTAGGGGTGTCCCACATTTGAAGGCAAACCCAAATGCTGCCACCCTCACTCCCCGAGTTCGTGAACTTTCTTTTTGGGAAGACCAGTTTAGCGGTAAATAAACAGTTTGGACTTTGTTTGGCCAGCCCACTGGTGAAGTGAGCACCGCGCGTTTTGATGCGTTGGTCAACTAACATTTCCCGTGAAGGTTCGATCTTGGCGGTTTTATCGACTTTCAGGCTCAACTATCATGGCATGTTGCATGGTTTTTGGAATCACCGACCTGGACCTGGACAATCCATAAGTGACGGTATTTTGCTATTTCCTTGCGTTGGCCACCTACTGGATGGTTGTCCAGAAGATTGTGTTTGTCAGACTGTTCACACTTTCAGGTAGCCCTTAATTGGTGGTTTGGATTGGTTTGGATTTGGATTTGTAGCCTTGGTTCTTGAGAGCAAATGAACAACCACCTAACCCCTAAACCAATCCAAAGCACCAATTAGACCACCGATTTTGGCAAAGATCTGGGACGGATGTCGGTTTCCGAAGGAAGTAGTGCATCTGGGGCGCTGGAGCAATGGAAGAACTCTGATGGCCACTGCAAGAACATGATGAGCTCGAAACATCACGTTTTTGCCGTCGGCTATGCATATGATTCGTCTGCAAGGTACAGGCACTATTGGACACAGATGTTGAAGCATTCGGATGTCTCGGACCTTGACACGTCCTGCTATCCAGCGACAGCGACCATATCAACTACCTCGGAGACCACAACTATGACTGAAAGCGCAACTACGACTCAAAGCGCAACTACGACTGGAAGTGAGAGCTCAACCTCAGCTACCACTATGTCCACTACAACGACCTCTTCAGACACTTCGACCACTGGAAGCGCCACCCAGAGTTCAACATCAGCTACCACCAGTTCCATCACGGAAGCCAGTTCAGAGACCAGCATGACCGCTACACAAACCACAGAGGCCCAGGTACAGGGCGAAAACACAAGTCAAGGCACTGTCACCAGCACAGCTGCCACGGGCACTTCGGTAACTTCGGTCGCATCCAGCACCTCCCTTCAAGTCACTACCGCAGAAGTGGCGCGGTCGGACATGACAACCACCACCACCACCCTGGCCTCGGTGACAGGCAAGTTGCTTCTGCAGGTCTCAGATTCCGAGGCCTTTCTCGCCGCGGCCTCCCGGCTCCAAGGACTTCGAAAGCTTGGCCCTGGGTGCGTTTCGTTGTGTTGATGTGTTGTCTGCATGTGGTGTGTCGGTGTGTTGCATTGTGTTGTGGTGTGTTGTGTTGGGATCAGTATGCTTGTGTGTGCGTGGTGTTTGTTGTTCATGTGTTGCTGGATTGACTGGCTGGCTGGCTGGCTGGCTGGCTGGCTGGCTGGTTGGTTGGTTGGTTGGTTGGTTGGTTGGTTGGTTGAGTGATTGATTGGGTTGCTTGGTTGCTTGCTTGATTGATTGGTTGGTTGGTTGATTGCTTGCTTCCTTGCTTCCTGATGTTTGTTTTGTTTGTTTGAGTTTGTGCGTGATTGTTTGCTTGCTTGCTTGCTTGCTTGCTTGCTTGCTTGCTTGCTTGCTTGCTTGCTTGCTTGCTTGCTTGCTTGCTTGCTTGCTTGCTTGCTTGCTTGCTTGCTTGCTTGCTTGCTTGCTTGCTTGCTTGCTTGCTTGCTTGTGTGCTCGCTCGGACGCTCGCTCGCTCGCTTGTTTCCTTGTGTGTTGTTTATCATTTTTTGTTGGTTGAGTTTGTATGTGATCGTTTGTTTGTTCATTTGCTTGGTTTTGTCTGGTTGTTTGTCTTGGTGCTGGTTGGTTCTGTGCTTTTTTACTTGACTGACTGATTTGTTTATCTATGTTTGGTTTCTGCGGTTGTTTATTTGGTTTGCAGGGATCTTTGCTTTTTTTTGGTTAGGTCCGTGCACATACTGCTAGCTGCTAGCTCCAGCAGTTTCACCTCCCTTTTACCAACCAAAAGACATGATATAATTTATAGCTCCTCTTTGTTTTTGGCGGATTCCTTGCAACGAAAATCAATGGTCACTGATGTCACTGGTATCATGGGTTCAGGTGTGCTGATTGCTTGACTCCTTGACCTATCATTTACCCTCCCCCCACTAACATGGCACCTGACAGGGGGTCCTCGCAAGAAGAAAATGATCTTCCAGGTACCCCACAAATGCTATGTTAGTGGGAGGAAGGGTAATTACTCTTCATTTCTCCTTGGTCTTTTCACTGGAACCCTTTCTCTCTTAAACCGCTGCCGCTTCGATCCGACAGGACCTCTGATAGCCTTCCTGGCCGAGCTGCTCCGCGTGCCGGCGCGCCGCATCAGCCTCTTCTTCCCAAGGGCCCGGCGCCTACGCGCCGCAGAGGCGCGGCGGCTGAGCCAGCTGGCGCTGGACTACGCGGTGGAGCTGGAGCGGGACAATATCTCGCAGGTGGCAGAAGCTCGGAGAAAAAAGACTCAGATGTGTGAAACAGGAAATCGAACTGTACAAGATCTCAGATGTGTGAAACAGGAAATCGAGCCCTCAAGATGGTTGGTTTCCTTTGATTCCCCGTTACAAATCGAGTTAACATGTTTTTTATTGAAACAGGCACTCCACTCCACGTGTTTGCAGTGTTGCCGTTTGGCGTATTTGGGATCCCTTTTCTGTCGCCATGCTGGCCCGCTGTTTTTTGGCCACGTTTTGGATCAGTGAGGAACTGCTGGCCTTGGCGGATCCAAATGAAACCAGCCATCTGCTGCAAGAGACTCTGGAGGTTTTGGATCTGAAGCTTGCCTAGCCAGTCGACCTTTTTGACTTGCTGTTTGGTCCGTGCTTTTGGCACCCCAAAAGGTCAGCCGTTGATTTCCTGGTCCTTTCAGTTTCAGGAGTCTCGGAAAATATCAGTTGCATATGTAAGGTTGAGTACATATATAAGACACAATCTTAAGATGTGAGGAATCTGACAGTGGAAGTTGTGGAACTGGTGCTCACTTTGGATCAGAAGGACCGCGAAGGCGGTCCACCCTTCGATCCAACTTGGTGGCTGAGTCCTGGTCCAAAGGCGCCCATTTTGACTTTTGTTTTCTTGGCGGCATGTTTCGCCTCCTTTTTGGGGGGTGGCCTGTTCAGACTTGTTTTCTCTGCCTATGAGTTCAACCCAGCTCCGGTGAGTTGTCAGAAGTCGCCAAGTTGACATGCGACCACCCAGACCTCCAGTCACCTGTTTTCCTTTGTTGGGCTTGGAGGGGGCCCCTTTGAAGTCAAAGATTGGTTTCCAGGACCACGAATCTAACACAGAAATCTAGGGGTAACTTCCATTCCAATCTTTCCAGGGATTCAAATCATTCTAGAAAACCACCAAAAAACCTGAGGAAATGCCTGGTTGTTCAAAAGAAGGACTTACGAATCCATGGCTCAGGATCGGTGCCCTTCTCGTCTTTGCTTGCCTGGCCGGGCTCCTTTGCCTGCGCCTGCGGCGATCGCGGGGCGCGCCGAGGCCGGCGGAAGTGAAGTTCCCCACCATCCTGAAGACCGGCAGCGCGACCATGGCATCCAGCAAGAGCGAGGTGGTGATAACTCGCTTGTAGCCTTCAAAACGTGACACGCATATCGCTTGTAACCTTCCTGCGAAATGTGCGAAGTGAACTGGGTGGTTCAACTAAAATCGGGACCCCCGAAACTGGAAGGGAACACCAGAAGGACGCCAGAAGGAGGGGTTTCTCCATTTTAGTACTCACCCAGCACCTCATGCGTAGAGCCTCCACAAGCTTGAGGCTTGATCATTTTGAAGTCCGGCCTGCGAATGCAGATTCCGTGACGCTTGAATTTGTCACTCTCCCCGAGTTGAGATCAAGTACGGCCAGGACCAAACAGTTGAGCTAGGAGACTTGTTGGCTCAGGTACTCGGGTGAGTGATCTTTATGGTCGCCTTGGTCCATGCATAGCCCTGTCATAGCCTTAGCGCCTGAGATGCGCCACAGCTGTGCTCGGAAGCGGGCGGATCAATCTGGCCACGGAGGGTCAAAACCAATCTGGGAATAAGGAGGTACCGGCTGAGAAGGCTAGGATTGCGTGAAGAAATATCAGTGTTCTTTCCTTGAACGCAACCAGTTCAATGCCTCTCTAACACCACCAAAAATTGATGAAGGTGTTCGGCCAAACACACAACAAACAAAACACTGGAAGCTCAATCCAATCTTCAAATGAGGCTCCAGAAGTACTGAATGAATGGAAGCCAGAATTTGGCTCAGCAATACTAGGCAAGTGTGAATCAATTGAGTCGGGCGTTGTTGGCCAGGACAGCAATTCAGGAGCTTCAAGTGTTGAGGAGGGTGCTTCATCATAGGTGTACACATGTCATGTCAACTGCTTCGCGCAATCATTTGCCGTTTGCCATCTTTTCCAGAGTGCTTTGGAAGTCTGGATGCATCCTTTTTCGCCTGCACCGTTTGCCTAGACGGCAGCCCTTTTCCATTGCAAGCGCATGTGCAATGGAGGCCCTGAGCCGGAGGCCTTGTTGCATCCGCCAGTGTTAGACACTTTCGCCTTCATCACCATCACATGAATGATTTGTTGATGGCAAACAGATGTGACCGATGGACCCTGAGAGTGTGAGACCGCTTTAAAACCCTTGTGGCCTTTGAGGTCATTGGTATTTGTCTTTTCTCCCGGGACGACCTAAAATTCCTACTTCCCTGCAAATTAGAGGATTCTAATCCCAACGAAGACCATGAAAAGGAGATTCGACCCAAACATTGTGGTTTGATGTGGTTTGATGTGGTTTGATGCGGCTTGATGCGGTTACCTGGTTGGATGCAGTTCCTTTGTCCGTTTTGGGTGGTGCCCAAGCCTTTCTCTCGTCGCGTCCGGGGTTTCGTCGCAGGACGCGAGCGCGTGGTGGCACGGGGCCCCTTTTGTCGAGTCGGGTCGGATGGGTGCCGCATGTTTTCCGAACCCGAGCCGAGCAGGCGGCCCCTTTTTGGCTCGGTTCGGGTGGCTCGGTGATTTGGATGTTGAGCCCAAATCGCTGTTGTTGTAGAGGGTAAATGGGACTGACCACCAAGCCACCTTAGAGTTGCAAAGTCCCTTACCCTTACTCCAATCACAGCTCTCAGGTTGAGCCCCTGGTTCTTGGGTAAGTGGGACTCCAAGCCAAGCCACCACATCCTGGGATGAGAGTTGGCCCATGTTGCCGCCCTTACCCAATCATGGAAGCTTAAAGGGGTTCTGGAAGACTTGAAGGCCCAAAACGAACGCCGGGAAACGAAGAAGGGAACTCGATGATTTGTTTGGGGCCTTGGGGCAATGTGGCAAAAAACAATCGTTTTGGGCAGTACTTCGGGTCCGGGTACTTCCATGGTTCTTGGAAGAGCCATGCAGCCGATTCTCAAGTTTCGCTTTTGGCCATTCGAGTTTTTGGTTAGAGAAACTAGACCTGAAAGGCGCCGTTTCTGGTGGTGGTGTTGTTTTGTGCTAACAACATATGGGTTTGTCTCAAAAAAGGGGAGCCCCCAAATGGGCTTCGACTTCCTTTCGGTTTTCCTTTAAAACCACCAAGAAAAATCGGGTTCCATTCAGAAAAGGTCCTAGACCTTCACACTGCCCTTACAAAAGGCCAATCAGCCCATCATTTCGGGGCAATAACCTGGTTTGAACGGGTGGTTTGAGGGTCCAGGTACCTTTTTCCGGTTGGTTTGTAAGGCAAACCAGGGCAAACCACGCAACTTTGCGTGTCAGGTTCACATTTCGGGTCCCTGCGTTTGTGTTCGTCACGCGAAGCCTCAGAACCTCAGCAGCCCCTCAGCGTCCTTGGCTTCCCACCAGAGTCGCACGAAACGTTTGTCGCCCTTCCCGTGGAAACCATGCGATTGAGCCTCCAAACCTTGCGGAAATATGGCTGGTCAAAAATGGGTACCCAAAATGGAACCCTTGTAAACGGAACCAAGGACTAAAACCTGCGATCCCCTGGCGTTTTAATTTTGACCCACACCCACATGTTTCCTTAGTATGCCGCTTTCTGTCATGCCAATCTGGTAAGCCTGAATTTGTGGTGTGGATTGGTGGTTTGGGGATTTGCACCCCTAGTTCTTGCAGATGATAAATAGGAACCCCCCCCCCCCTAGCCACCAAACCACCAGATAAACCAACAACTAGGGAAGCTGAACTAAGCGAACCCGCTTGAAAGAGACAGTCACGGGGATGGGCATCCCACCTTTGGTATCACAGACCCAGAAAAGGCAAATGCCCAGCACCCAGCATGGAAACCAAGAAGGCACGGGTTTTCGTTATATACCCAAAAAGGTGTACCCTCAACGCAATTATGTCTTCTTTTTGTTTCCTTTTGAACCATCCACAAAATAAGTATGCTTACAGAGAAGAAAAAGAAAGAGAGAGAGAGACACGGACATGTGGGTCTCCCAAAACCAGTGTCCGTGCCGTTTTGTTTTTGTTCTTCTTTGTTTTCTTTTTTCCCGAGGTGCCGGCCTTGAACGTCAACAGCAGCCTGGTGATTTGCCAGCTGCCGACTCTGAAAGGCGGTCGCTACCAGCCGCGCGCTCGGACCCACTCGGACGGTTCGATCTTCGGTGTCTGGGCTTCAGTTTCCATTTGCCACCCATTGTGATGTTCACCAGGGGTAGGCTTTGACCCACAGCCACATGGCTCATCTTGTGGAGTCGGTACCCGTTTATGGGACAGTGTTGATGAAAAATCCAATGCAAACCACCAATTTGAGGGGGCGTCCGGCGTCCCCTCAAAACGAGACACCCCATATTGCCCCTTTTGGTGGTTTTAGAAGTCACCTTTTGGTTGCCAATCTTAAGTGAGTCCTGCGCTTGGGGTGATGTGTTTTAATGGACAAATATCAATTGGGTGGTGAAATCCACTTAGATTTGCCAACTTGGCCCGGGCATCTCGATTTTTCGAGGCCTGTGAGATCCAAAGCGAGTGCAGTTTCGGGGTTTTGTGATTGGTCCGTTGGCCAAGTTTTCCGGCGAGCTTGCCGTTGCGGGAAAGCCAGCTCACCAGGTCCTTTACCTTTACCTGGGAGTAGCTTATTTCAGCTTTTGCAAGTGTGGTATTGTTTCCGGATTCTGGAAGCACGCAGATCCGAGCTGTACTGGGCTGCCAGCGAAAGTGCACTGCAGTGCGCATTGCAACACACCCATATGAGCGCCCACGCGTTGCTTTCAATTCCGCTGAAGGTTGATGCTTCGCTTCAAGGCTGGGTGCGAGTTGAAGCGCGCCGGGGGCGGGCGCAGACTCTTCAGCTCCAAGCTGTGGATGCAGGAGGTCCACTTCGCACCACTTGATACAAACATGCTATCCTGGAAAAAACGCAAGGGTTTCATCCATCCCCAGATTTGTAGTGACCTTTCTCCTTTTATAGGGGGTTCCCCAAAAAAGAGTGGTCAACGTCCCGAAACGACAACACACATCCACGGCAGCCCGAAAAAAGGGCCCCAAGAGGATATCAAGTATGATTTACTTGAGGGCATTGGGGGAATGCTCACAGGGCGGCCCAGGGCACCTTTTGATTGGCTTGTGGGTTGGGGAAGACCTTTAATGGAAGCCAAAGCACATGTCATCAAAAAACAAATCAACCTATGCCACGAGATAAACCCATCAGCTGGCAACACACCGATCAAATGGGAAGCTGTGTAGGACGTGTCTATACAGCTCCACCCAGCAGATCCTAAGACCTTTTTTTGGAGCGGCAACCAGCCGGTTCCTTTTGCTTTAAAGCGTGGCAAGACCATGGTTGCCTACTATACGGGTAAATGGATTCATTGGGCAACACTTGGTGGTTACTTTGGTTACCTACAAAACCAGGGGATATGGAACTTCTGGGGCATTCATGTTGATGAACTTGATGCGGAAATCCAGACGTGTGTGAAGCTGACAGCTGATCCGAACATGGACGGAGTTTCTTGGCAATAAAGATCACCGGAAAAGATCAAGTCGAGCCCGTTTCGCCCCTTACCTCAAGAGCAAATTGGCCCTGAATTTTGAGGGGGATTCCCCTCAAAAGTGGTTGGTGGACCCGAACCCCAACCGAAAATGATGTTCACCAATTAGTATGTTGCCCTGTTCCTTTTGGATAAGTTCCAAAAGATCCTGCTGATTTGGAGGATCCGAATGTTTTGCACAGTTGGTCTTGGGATTTAGCCCACCGGACCCCTGTTTGTTTCCAGGTTGAGAACTCTTGGCTTCTCCTCGGAGAGCACGCGTCAAAATGATCTCGAACGCAACAGGCCTCCGGCGTGGTGGCAAGGCCACACACCGGGGCGACGCCCATCTTTGAGGCAGGAGAAAGGTCGTTCAGTCAGTTCAAACGCAGGGTGAGTCTCTTGGAGCTGAACTCCGGAAGTGCTTAGAACAGGCGTCAAACCTTTCATCTCCTGGAAACTTTGCCTAAGAGTTTATTGAAGCTGATGAAATGGAATCTGGAAGCAGGCTTCGTTGTTTTTTTTTTTTGGGGGGGGGCTGCCGATATGGGTTCATGCCATTGATTCGGGGGTAAAACGAGAGCTTTTTGTGGAGGTCCTTTCTGGAGGTCCTTTCTTTGTGGATTCCTTGTTCAGGTTTCGATTAATTGTAGTCCGAGTGTTTCCGTGGGTCGCATTTTCCAATGCAAGAAACAACAAGAACAAATGGGTACCAACCCCGCAAAAAAAGGCTCTGATTCTTTCTCTTTCTTTTCATCGTCCTAAGGTTTCTTTGTGTTTCGCCGGGTTTCCTGACCATTAATTGGCAAACGCGGAGCATCTAGAGCGTAACAGGACTCGCTTTGGGGTCTGTGTGGATGGTCATCAACCACCGACTGGGGGCGGGGGTGAACAGAAACGCGTGGTCCGACCTGTGAAAGTCCCAAACAAGGTAAGAACATGTGGTACGGCAGGGTCCGCACTTCCGTCATCAAACCAAAGGGCCACAGTTACTAGGTCCCCCAGTAATGCTCTTCTACTCTTTTTGGGGGAGGGTTCGCCTACTAAAAGTAGACTACAGAAAAAAATCGGGTGCCCTTATTCTAACATCTCTACTGGAGGACCTAGGTTATAACATGGAAGAGTTAGAACATCACGCGCCCTCTTCTTGCGCCCCGTGGCACGCCACTTTGTTTGGTAATGCGCTTTTGTTTTGTGCAGTGAAGCCATTGTACGTGTTTTTTGAAGGTACCCTTTATAGTTTGCAAAAGGAACGCCGCCATTGTGGGGGTGATACCCGTGCAAGCGTTTATGACCCCTTGTAGAACCAATCAGCTCGGGTTGGCAACTTGTTACCCACTCCCATTCACTGGGCCAGGTGTTAGCGCCGTTGAGCGTGAAGAGGCCGGGACCCGTTCAATGTCTCGACTCTCAAACCATCCTTTAAAGAGGGAAGGCACATCATTTTGTTGGGGACAAGAACCATTGTTTATGGGCAGTTTGAGGGTCCAGCAGTTTGCCATTTTCCCTGCTGGTTTTGAAGGGAACCTATTATTGGATGCATATAATATATCCTTTTGCCAGGAGGCGTATTCGCACATGAAGGGACGGACAGAAAAACAAGAAGCCAACATGAACCCACGAGACGTGGAAACAATTGCTTTTGCACTCGTAGTTGATCAAAAGGTCCATTACAACAGGACTTTCACGAAGTGCGAGTTACCCATAGTGTATTGGGTGTGGCTCAAAGTTACTGAGCTAGGGCGAACCGCAGGTTTCAGTCTTTGGTTCCATTTACCGTTTGGTGCCATGTTGGTACATGTCTTCAGCCATTGAACCTCCCAGCTGCACTCTGGAAGCGACACCAAGACTCATTCCGAACAATTTCTCGGACTTAGCTTTTGCGCTAGTATGAGGCGCCCTCATGGAAGGTAAGGCACAAGGGCTTAAACCAGCACTGCCCAGGTTGCGCGGTGGCAAACAGAATCAGGTGACGGGACCGGTGACTGTCACCATCATCTCATCAACCTTTTGACTTTAGGTTTTACAGTTTTGGGTTCCCGCTTTTTGTAAGGCTGGTGGACCTTGGGGCAACTGAGTCATATGTTATGTTGCGAAAAACATGCTTACAGATTCAGCTGGGGTCTCCTCTAAACATTTGGGGTATGGAGGGAATCTTCTGCACCTGGACCCAAAAGAAAGAACAACCCTCAAAAAGGGAAGGAATCACCATTTCGAGGAAGTTTTGAGTTGCAACAACCCATGTTTGAGGGTTCAAGTGGGCCACCCCCCCCAACCCAAGCGTCCCATCCGAGCCAACGAGCTTCACGGCGCCCGAGTTGCGTCCTTCCTCGAGGGGTTGCTCTCCTTTTTTTGGCATCCCTCAACCCACGAAACACAAAGCTGCTTTTCGGAAGTTTTGCGGCTTGAACCCATCCCTCAAACACAGTTGTTTTCGGGGGTTTTGCAATTTGAGCCCGGAGAACCACCTTTTGTTCGAGGGTTTCGCCTCTTTTTTCGCGTCCCTCAACCCACAGAACCCGAAATCGGGTCGAGACATCGGAGAGGTTTACGCCCGACTTGGTGGGCCCACTTCGGCAGGCGCGCAGTACGCAGCCGGAAGCTGCGAGGGGCTGGAAATAATTTGTTGGTTGGTTGGTTGGTTGGCTGGTTGGTTGGTTGGTTGGATGGGTTGCTTGCTTGGTTGCTTGCTTGGTTGCTTGTTTGCTTGGTTGGTTGGTTGGTTGGTTGGTTGGTTGCTTGGTTGCTTGCTTGGTTGGTTGGTTGCTTGGATGGGTTGCTCGCTTGGTTGCTTGGTTGCTCGCTTGGTTGCTTGGTTGGTTGCTTGCTTGGTTGGTTGCTTGGTTGAAGTTTGTTGAAGTTTGTTGAAGTTTGTTGAAGTTGATTGAACGTTGGCTTAAGTTGATTGAACGTTGGTTGGCTCGCTTTTGGGTTGGGCTGGGTTGGGTGGATGGCTGAAGTTGCTTGATGTTGGTTGATCCTCGTGAATGTTGGTAAATGTTGTTTGATGCTGTTTAATGTTGGTTGATTCCAAAAGCGCGACTCTTCAACGAGAGAAGGCCCTGGAAATACAAGGTCAATATGTTTGGGACCTTGACTGCAAATGGACGAAAATAGGAACACCAACAGGTCAAACGCTCGGTTTTGGGCAACTATTGGTTGCCAGGTGGGTTGCTTGCTGGACATGTGTTGAGTGCTTTTGGCGCCTCACATTTGCAGATGTCGCGACTGTCAGTTGCATTCCTTGGAATTCTTTCCAATTGACCATAGGCACAGCCAAAGCTCCCTATGTCAGTCATGGTCATGGTGTCCTTAGCTCCCAATCCTAGAGAGTTTTATGACCAGCCCAAGCACCCCAGAGGAAAAGGGCGTTTCGACCAGGGTCCCTCGGATCATCACACATTGGAGCATTTTTTTTGAGGAACCCTGTTGGTAAACTAGAAATCCAAAAGGGAACCCGCCATGTGTGTTTGGGTGGGGTATGCTTGGCAGTTCCCGGCCATGCGGTTCCTTAGGTGTTTAGTTGGTTTTTAGTCGGTCTAGTGGTAGTTTCCGCCAACTTAGCAGGGGATCCGACAACGAACAGCCCCAATCACGCGGCGCCATTGGCGGCACTTCGCTCAGCACCATGGTGCAGAAGCCGCGTCCTATCAGGAACGCCAGCAACGGCAGGCCACCGTCTGCATGCGGACCGCCCACCCTGGCGCAATTCGCGGACGCGAGTACAAAAGCGCGGCTCTGCAGACGTGGGCTGCCAACAGCGTGCTGGACCCGGCCGCCGTCCCTGTGACACTGTGTGTGTGGTGTGCTGCATAGTGGCCCGGGATCCACTGGGAAAAGGAAACGTCACCTTGGGGCAGCCCAGCTTTGAGACCAGCCCATAGGTCTTGGTGGCTCTCAGCCATCCGATTCCTTAGCTTTTTAGATCCTCTCAGTGTTTAGTGGTAGTTTCCATTTACCCCACTAACAGTGAGTCACTTTTAGCGGGGGATCTGAGAGCAGCCAGGTCTCAGTGATCCTCGAAGAGGTGCAGGCCACAGAGTCGGCCCTTGCCGGCAGAACCGGAGCCTTCCAGAGCGAGGACTCCCGCAAGTTTTTGTCGCGGATCCGGCTGGGTCTACCTGGGTATGGGTCAAAATAAAGCCACCAGGAATTGGACCGCAGGTTTTGGTCCACGTTTCCATTTACCTGGGTTCCATTTTGGGAACCTATTTTTGACCCACAGCCACCTGGGCCCGAAAGAACTACCCGACTCAAAAGGCGAAGTCACCCACCAAACATGTTTTGCAACATCCCAGTTCTTAGTCGGGTGGTTTGAGAATCGGTTCAGGTGCACAAAAGGAAGCATTGTTTGCCAATGGGGCACTGGCTCGAGATTTCTTTGGGATGCTGTGCGTCTTCATGGGGTGGGTCAATTTTTGCTGTGACTTTGTGACCTCTGTAGCCTCGGCTTGCCACACGAAGCCGCAAGCCTGGGAGGGTGTCTACTTCCCGGCCATTTTTTTTTAAATGTGGCAATGAAGAAGGGCAGTACATGGCCAAGTGGAGGTTGCTATTGCAAATTGCCGGCAAGGTGCTGGCTTCGAAGTGGGTGCTGCCGATCGCCAAAATGTCAAGGATGTTTTTTTTGGGGGGAACATAAACTCCAAATGGCTGAACATATACTCCCAGTTAAGTGATGTGCTCCCAATGAAAGTTCACACCGACTTCAACAGCATGGTAGACAAACCACCGACTGACTGACTGGGCACGTCGCGTTTGTTTCCAATGCACGGGCAACCAATGGAGATTCTTTTGGCTTCATGTTGCGTGTTTGTTTACTTTCAACAAACAGGAGACGGCGATGACACGCTTAATGATTGGGTGCTTTCCATCAGCTGATACGGGCTTTGGCTTACCCTTTGGAGTCAAGAAGGCACGTGTTGGCTATGAAAGTATGTTCGGTGCTTGGCTATGAGCAAATGCCACGGCATGTACCTAACTAAGTCTTGCTCTCAAATAAAAAGTGCATACCGAGTTGCTACTTTGCGGAGATGTGTTTTTGGGTTCGTCGCGAGTATTCCCAAGACGACGTGGGCTTACGTGGGGTTGTGTTTCTTGTTGTATAGGTGAAACCCCCCCATTGGCGGGGTTCTCCTATGTCAACCCACATGCACTCTGTTAGTCAAGACATCAGCCCGTTTCCCACTACATCCCGTCATGAATGTGTCACACGCCGCCACTCGCTTTCACCAGGATATCTTCTGCAGCTGGCAAGTCTTTGCCAACCGGCAAGAAGGCGCACGCGGGCAAGAATCGCGAGGACTTGTGCGCCCAATGCGACATCCGCTGGGCTACATAGGTCTGTCGCTTTGTGTCGTTGTTTGGTGGCACCCGTTTTGGGGGGTTGGTTCAATGGACAACCAAAAGGAATGCCGTTGCGCCATGTTGGGGGGTCCTTTTTGAACGTGCTTGACATATTGAACTAAATCCGATCACGCAGGTGAAACTTCAAGTTCTAGGGGGGATTTGGGATCAGCGGGTTCTGTGTTGACGAGTACATGTTGTTTCTGCACGGGATCTGGATTTTAGTTAGATAGCATGTTGGACCCTCAAACTACCCTCAAAAAAAGCGGCCTGATCTTATTTTTTTGGGGCCCAACAACCATTTTGTTGGGGTTTGAGGGTTCAGGTACCTGCTCATTTACATTTGAGTCACAATCAAGCCCCGGGCAAGTGAAGGTTAGTAAGGGAAAGACCCAGCCAGAATTGGTTGCGGCCGCCATTTTTGTACCTTGTTTTGATCAAAGCAAGGGACCCGATCTCATTTTTTGTGGGCCAACAACCATATTGGGGTTCAGGCATCTGCTCATTTCCATTTGGTGTTTCCAAGCACTGCCAGGGGACCTCCCCGTGCTGGTGGAGGCGCCGCAAAGAGCTTGGGTCCACTTTTGCATCGACGCCCAGGCGCGGCGAATCGGGGCGCATGGAACCCCACCAGGTTCCTTGTCAGGTTCCATGTGTGGTGGGGGGGGGGCCGGGAAAAGGCGGGGGGGATGGGGGTACACCCAATTGGAATTATGCCCAGAAAGCAGGTCACCAATACAGGGAGCCCAGTGTTTACTCTTGTTTTTCCAACCAACAAGCGGAACCCTGTCGATCAGTGTCATGGTTTTCAGCTGCTGTTGCAGGCCCCCGCGTTCGCAAAGCCAGTTGCAAGTTGGCAATTTCTTGTTGTACACCTACCTGGAGTCTCCATGTCCCTTCAAACTCGGTTATTCCATGACGAATTCCTTGCTTCGGGCACTGACCCGTCCATGACCAATTCCTTTCTTTGGATAATGACCCTATTTTTTTCAGGTCATTAAGACAGGTAAGGACCAACACAAACAACGCCGGAGGTATGCTTTTCTTGAAGGGGCGATCGGGTAGTTTCTGAGTGGTTAGTATAGCCTGGTTATAAGCAACAGGAGTTATCAGCCAAGTGAATAAGTAGTTAGAAGCCCAGTAAGTGGTTAGGTAAGCCCAGTAAGTGGGTAATACAACTTGGTTAATCACCACTTCCCTGACGTTGCGCGGAAGCGCGTCAGCGCTTTGCAGCGCTCGCGGGTTTGCAGCCCAGGTGAGCCGCTTTTGCAGCTGCTCCCAAACCAACAGGGGCTGCAGTGTCGAACATGTAGTGCCTGGCCCCCGGAATCGACAGCTCGACTTGGGGGGAGATGGAGGAGGCGGGGGGCTTGGGCAAACATCCGTCGTCCTGGATCCTCAAGCTACCCTTAAAACATGGAAGCCACTCATTATGTTGGTAATCCTGTTTTATGGGTAGTTTGAGGGGTTAGGTTAGGTGAAACCCTGCAAAACCAGTTTTGCACAATCCCATCCTAGATCGAGAAGTATCTGGTGCCGGCTTCCTTTTGGAAGTCCAAGTTCAAGTCTGAACACATCATGCACTGGCTCCTAGTTCTTTGTTTCTTGTTTTTGGAGTGGCTGAGTCACTCACGCCTTGATGTATTTGGGCAGTGCAAAGGCGGGGCTTGCATGAATCTTTGCAGGGCCACCATGGGCTTTGTGTGAGCCTCCAGATGCTTTACTGGGTGCCTAACAGACCCTATTTGTTTTAAATTCCCCATCGAGGGATGGTGGGGGCTCGTATCTCAACTGGCCACCAGGAGCATGTTAAAGCTGAAGCTGACTCTGGGTTTGGAGAGAGTGGATTATGGTACCTGGACCCTCGAACTGTTTGTTATTGCCCCAAATTCGGATGATGCTGTACCTGTTTGTTAATGGGATTTTTGAGGGTCCGGATAGATATTCAGGCCTCGCAACGGGGCTCCAGGGATGTTGCCTTCAGAGCACTTGTCAATCTGGGAAGGATAAAAGTAGATGGCACCGTTCCCCCCCATCTTGGTTTAGTCATTCCCTTTAGACACGGACATAGAGGGAACTGTGCCATCTAATTAGTTCCACCCAAGGCAAACCATGATTTTTGGAGAGGCCAACCAATGCCCCCAGCCCTGCGTTTTACGCAGAAACACAGGGGTTGTAATGCTCTGTTTTGAGAGATTCCAGTGGCATCTGACGTCTGGTTTTGCATTGGTGTCTTTATTTTTGTACTATGGACCGACTATGCGTCCGAGAGCCTGTGCCTTCCTGGTCGAATTACTCTATGAGGACTCTCTTGTTTGATCACATGAATCAAATGTGCAATACAACCGTTGATGAGTTTATATGCATGTATCACTCATTAAATCTGCGCATGCTATAATACTCTACATAAGAGTCTATATATTCATTTATTTTCCCGGGCTCGACCCTGATCCAGCTGCAAGTCAGCTTGGATTTTTAAGATTTGCAAACTTCACATGGTGTGTGGAACAAACTCAGGTCTACTTTCTGGCGCTTGAATCTTTGTCGGTATGCTGTCTGCGAATTCGGTGCAGTAGAGCTGCGAAGCAGTGGGCAAAGCGCAAAGCTGCCAGTTGCACTTCCTGAAATGCAGCTACTTTGCATTCTGTTGGCCCTGCTTCAAAGCACGAATGAGTCACAAGCATTGTCATGCATCGCCGGTGTCATCACGGCTCTGGAGCGCAATTTGGCCATGACCGAATCTTGGTGCTTGCGTGGCGAAGAAAGCACATGCGGCTGGATGGCACATCAAGGTTCGATGGTAAGAAACACATATTGAACAAACCCGAAGCAGGGTTTCAAAGAGCAAATTCGTCAATTAAGCGGCACCCAAATATATTATATGCATATATATATATATATACATATACATATATATATATATATGTACACAACCGTTAATATACGCATTACAATTATATACTGTATAGAACACCCTCGAAACGAAGCAACGCCTCAACAACAGTGGTTTCAATTCTCATAGACATATCTTTTCTCTTAGCATTCGCTGAAGCAGACTAGGGAAGATGTGGGCTGGGCCACAAGCATGGCGCAGTCTCCGCTTCTACTCATTTTTGTCTTTGCAAGCCATTTCTACAAGTAAGTAGTAGCCAACAGCCATTGTTCGTTTTGTTTTTTGAGGGGTGGTTCCTTTGTTTGCCTACTATATACCTGGACTCTGCAACTACTTCACAGGGGCAATAGCCAATTTTAATGGGTAGTTTGAGGGTCCAAGTTGGTAAATGGAATCACTGGGTTCCGGTTTGGTCTCTTAGGACCTGTGAGTCGCCTTTGCTGACGTCGGAGCTGGCCGAGGTGCGCCTTGCGGTTGAATCGAGACCCACCCACCCAATCCACGTCCGTTTTTTTGACCCTTGACTGTTTGACTGGGCACTAAGTATGTCATGGTTCATGTTGTTCTTTTTTGGTATCCCAACCTGGCGTTGTTCCTGACCCGCGATTTTGACCTACTCAATGCGCAGCACAATCACTGCTCTTGTTTTGTGTGTGTGTGATGACGCTTGTTCCCCTTGTTCCCGGATAGGATTGACCTGGCACTTCAAACCAGTGCCAGGTGACCCAGGTGTCTTTGCTTCTGCTCCCTTGGTAGCCTCTGTTGCCCAAGCTCGACGCGATCCTCGCATCAAACAACCTCACTGACGGCGTGTCGCCTTTAATGGATATTTATCATTTTTCACTTTTAGAGGGAACGCCCCCCCCTTTCTTTGGGAGGGAATTACTACTTGGGGGTCAGCATTGCCTGACCTTCCTCTTGCTGAAAGTTACAGTGCGTCCCCCCTGCAAGGCTTAAGGTTTCCCAGAAGTTCTTGGACCGGTCTACAGTCAATGTTGCTTTCGTGCCCATGTTTTCCATGTCTAGTGTGGGTGCACTATACATTATATGTTGATCATGGCTCAGATGAGGCTCGTACGGGCTTTGAAAGGTGAACCAAGAGAAAAGCAACGATTTGTCGAGGTGCAGGATCTATATTGACGCACGAACAGGCGAGTCGAATAGTTTTAATGATCGTTTCTTCAATTTTTCCAAACCCCTGCTGTGGACAAAACAACCTTGCTCCAGGGATTGGTGGTTTCTCCTATTCAAATCGATTTTGTCTATGCATAGTTGTGGAATCCTTTCGGGTTCCTTGGGCTTCGCCTTAGGGACCCCACCCTTGGACCACGGATGCGCTATCACAATTGGTGACCGCGGGCCCAAGGGAATTCAACCGCGGGGCTTTGTTTTTGTTTGGAACATGCCGAGACTTTGCGATTTGGACCCCCAGAATGGTGGTCCTTTTGTTTTTTTTTTTCCAATCCCAAAAAGTGTAGCCTCAACAAACACACACACACACACAAGCACACACAGAGCCACCCATGTTGGGACTCTGTGAAGACTGGTTGGACATGTTCGAGACGGCTCGAAATCAGACCCCCGCAAAAGTAGTTAATATCCTGAAAACGCACACGCATACATATATATATATATATGTATGTATATATGTATTAATATGTATATATATATATATGTATGTATATATATGTATATGTATTAATATATATATATATATATCTATATGTATGTGTGCCTTCAAACTAGGGGGGCCCCCAATTTGGGGTGGTTTTCCTTATGGTTTCCCTTTAAACTGACCAACTAAAAAACTAAACCAAGACGCGGGGCGATTTGACAGGCGCTGAACGTGGCCTACACGGCCGCGGTGCTGCTGTCCGTGGATGCCGGGAGGCCGCACCTGAGGTCGCCTTGTATCTTTAAACCATGGTTATACCCACTTGCTTAGTAGGCTGAACATCCAAAAAAGCCAGCCTGCAACCTAGGATACGACACCTGACATCTGACGGCGGGCTGTCATATTGCAAGTGCGGGAGCGAGTTTTAACCGGTTCTCAAAGTGGCCGTAATTTGCCACGTGGCTTTTCGTACGGTAGGTTTACTTGCAAAATGGCGAATTTATGCGGCATCCACCGTACCTTCTTGTCGCTTTGATTTCAATCGAAACCACATGTTGAACGCCGCGGAACAAATAATATTTTTTGGGGGCTCATGTTTGGACCATTGTTTCGAGATCAATTCCCTGCAAAGGGGGGGGTTCATCTCTCACTTCCTGTAGGGCTGGGGAACCCCTCAAAAGTGGTTGGTGGACACAAATCCCGACCTAAATGATGTCCACCAAAGGGTCCCTAATTATTTTTTTTGACAGCCATATGATGGTTCTCCCAACAACCATAAAGTCCAGGAACTCGTTGAACAATTGGAGACTCAAGAAAATCTACCGGACCCCATCCACTCATTGTGGTGGTCACGATGAATAAAAGGTTTGTTTGAACTCTGTTTGGCCAATCCACTGAGAAAATGAGTTGCAGCTCAGCCAGGCCGGACAGGGATGTTGGTCTAGGTCCCCAAGTGCCCTTTTGCCCCTTTTTTTTTGGGGGCGGGAGGATTCCCCTGCCAAAATAGACAACTGAAAAAAATTGGTACCCTGATTCTAGCCTCTCTACTGGAGGATCTAGTGGTTGAGTCTCAGTCAGTTGCACCCGGCAGGACGTACTTCCCCATCGCAGAGGCAAGCCTTAGGCCGGGGATGCGGAAACCGAGCCGGTTCTTCCCGTGCGAGCTGGAGTCAAACTACCGGGAAAAAGGGGCCATCACCGCAGGTTGTTTGGCAATAACCCCATGTCTATATATGGGTAGTTTGCGGGTCCAGGTACATGAAAACTGGGGACCTGTTTAGGACAGCTAGAGAAGCCAACCGAATCTTTTGCATGGCGGTGGTACCTAGTTTTGATGCCCTCAGTTCCTGGACTTGGAACTGTAGAGAAAGACCATCTGAGTGGCAAATTAGCAGTTCAGACCTTTTCCTGGCCAATCCACACAAGAAATGAGTATGACTATTTTTCCAAACCGTACCCCGAACGTTTTGGCTCTAAATGCACCAGGCAAGCAAACCGCAAACCGCGCGGAGGCTTCATGCAACGTTGATATTTGCCTATTTAGAAAGAGAGCTCACCATGATGTAGGTCCTTCACTTGGGAATTCCTCATGATAGGTTTTTGGATTTGTTTCGTAGATTTTGCAGAATCATCTTGTTGCCCTAGAGGTTACGGGGCGAAGGATGGTTGCCTTTGTTACGGGAAATGGAATCGCTCGCTAGATCTGAGAGGCCTCCAAAAGGATGCAACGGCAACTACTGTGGATGGGCGAAATCCATTTCGCACCCCTTAAAAAGCCCCGGGAATGAAAATAACCGCTGTAAATACCAGCTAACCATGGTTTCCCATGGCTTCAACGTGGTGCGAAACGGATTTCGTCCATCCACAGTATGGAACTGATCAACTTGGTGCCCTGCCGTCCCATTTCTTAACACGCTAGAAGCTGAGCTTTTAGCAGAGGATCTCAGGACAGCCTTCTTTATGCTTGGTTCAAAGCAACACACCCTCAGAGACAACCACTTGTTTTTCTCCTTTTTCGGTGTTTATTTGTTTTTGAGGGGGTGCCTCAAAACGGACCCGGCGAGCAGTCTCTTGGTTGCTGTCCCCTGAGCATCCCCATGGTTCTGTGACAAAGTCGTGGCATTTTGCACTCATAGCACTTCTCGATCACGCAGTCAACCTTCTCGAACCGAGCTTTGGGTCTTCAAGTTTCTCTTGGCAGCAATGAGTGGCTAAAGGCGATCACCCGATGTGATTTTTTTCTCGGGCACTGGGCAAGGCAGGGAAGACAAGAAGACTGGGCTCCTCAGTTTGATGCTTCTCTGGGGGTCAGCAAATGGATACGGTTTCCCAGAAAACCTGCCACTGATCCCAGGTGACTTTGATAAGGCATGGCATGATGGGGCAAGTACACTCCGCGAGCACGGGAGCTCCCCCAATTGGCCTCTGATCGAACCAAGTCCGAGCTCGGGCTCCGAACTCGGGAGCTTCCATGGAATCGCCTGAAGCGTAATATTTTTGCGAGATCCATGTTGCCCTTCCCGGAGAGAAGACATGACGGCCGTTCAGGATGTCACATCGGGAAGAGGGGCTTCGGACCCGTTTTCTGTTTTTCTTTGGTTTTCTCTCTTTTCTTCAATTGGTTGCGCACCATACCAAGCTCTTGCTTAGGTTGCAACCCGAAAGGAAGAAACCCAGCGTTACCGGGCCGGGGTTCTTGGTGCTTTGGTTGCCAAAGGATTTCCTCAAACTCAGTTTTGAGGAAAGCCAATTTTAACAGTTTCGGTTTTGTGTTTATTGCATTTGCAGATCAAGCACGTGTTTTGGGCTTGGATCAGGAGCTCAAACTTGAAGAAAGCAAGCGGAGTTTCAAGTATAACGTTCCAACATGTTTTTACGAATCCGCGCAGGAAGTGAGATCCTACTGTGGATGGTCAAAATCGATTTTGCACCACTTTGAAACCATGGTTCCAACCATTGCTTGGGTATTTACATTGGTGAATCGAATCAGAAACCACTGTTTCTGAACGGTTTTTGTCCATCCACAGTACAAACAGAGACTAGGATTGCTGTACCTGGACCCTCAAACTACCCTAAAAAATGGGATATTGCTCAAACATATGGGGTAAAAGTTGCCCAAAGCCGACCTTGCGACCTTCTGGTTGTCCCGTGTTGGTCCATTTTTGGTCATGGCTCCAAAAGGTGAACCTTCTATGTCCAGGTCCTTTGGGCAAGTGAAATGTACCAAACAAGACGAGGATGTCCGGCGTTTGCTAACCTGTTTGGTCCATTTTTGGTCCTGGCTCCAACGGGTGAACCTTCTATGTCCAGGTCCTTTGGGCAAGTGAAATGTACCAAACAAGACTAGGATGTTCGGCGTTTGCTCCTGAAATCTCGGATTGCTTCCTAGGTCCCCCCAGTAGTGCCAACTTTTACCCACTTTTTGGGGGGAGGGTTCCCTTACTAAAACAGACTACGTAGGTAGGAAAGGGTACCTTATTCAGCGCTCCTTAAAAGATACATTTTGCCCATTTGAAACATGTTGTTTGTTCCACCAAAATAAAGTTGGAAACCACCATTTACAGAGCAATGTTCAGGTGTATAATGCATCCGGATCCCTGTTATTCTAACCTCTGGACCTAGCTTCGAACACTTCGGTTCCCCGCCAGGCTGGACTGGGATCCCTCAGCGCTGCCGCTACCAGAGGGCAGCCCCTCGAAGGCAGCGCAGCCCAAGTCATGCGGACGGGGCAGCGACCCGAGCGAAACGCTCGTCTTCGTCGGTTTTTTGGATGGTCCCCCCTTTGATCGTGGCGGGGAAAGAGATAACCAAGAGGAAAACAGTCAATTACCCTGTCTGCCAAAAAACATGGAACCTCACGTTCGGGACCCGGTCCTTTTGAAAGGAAAATCGTCCAAACCAGGAGACCCCCGAACGTCAGGTAACCCATCTTAATTGTTGGGGGGTGTAGTTCTTATTCCCTGAGTTCTCTTGGACTTGATTCACTTTTTACATTTTAGTGCTAAACCAAACGATTGGCGACTTGTTGTTCACCAGTCCACTCAGGAAGAGAAAAATCAGGGCCTCCTCCAAAATCTGCCAAACCCGTTGCCCCAGTCTGAGCTTCTCACGTGAACGCCAGGTCTTTGCAGGCGACACGGTGGAGGTGAAAGCGCTCAGTACCTTGCCCTCTGCTCGCTGTCAGCCAGGGAGCCCGGAAGTCACAAAGGGCACCTCGCAAGGGCGAAATGGTGCCTGGCTTAGGTTAGGCTAGTGAAACAAAGGATGGGTTGGAACCACTGGTTTACATTGGGTTTTATTCCATTTGCTAGGGAAACCCATCTGTTTTACCGAATCGACGCCTTGGATGATGGATTTGCCAAGCTGGTAAGTGGATAGCCAAGTGGGGTATAGCCCCTTTACATCAAGGTTAACCCCACTGAACGGGGGACTTATGTGGGTTACAACCAAACGGTTACCGGCGACCTACGTGGCCGAAAATCCAAGCAAGTGTCTTTGGGGTATCTCTTGGGCAAATCAACAGCCTTGGGAAGGCGGCTTTGTGTTGGCCATTACGACCCAGACCCACCCCAGTCTTTGGCAGAAAGCGGAACCCAACCAGTCAGGCGCCTTCAAGCCTGTTTAAAGTGTCAAACAAACACGCCACATAAAAAAAAAGTCCCAGAAAAATGATTTCCAGCCATAGACCCTGGAGCAACCCCACTGGTCCATCTAATGTTTGAGTCAAATTCTGCCCAGATTCCGGGCCTACGGCGACAACGCCCGCTTGCTGCTGGACGCTCAACGCATCCACTCGCGCTGTGGATCAGGCGCGGAAGAGTGGGGGGGATGGGATGAGTGTCTTCCGGAATGGAGGGACGTCAGTGTTCTACGTGTTTGCTTGCGGGCTGCACCTGTTCTTATCATTGTTGTTGTTGGAAAACATTGTACATTTTTGCTTTGTCGTTTAGTGGGACATCCCCATGCAACTGCTAACATTTAGATTTTTGCTCCCCTTCCAACGTCAACCGTGTGTTTGCGTCATTCACACTTGCGATTCATTGTTTGGAGGTTTTTTGACAGCTGCGTGCTTTTGCGGAGAATACCCTTCAACCCACTCAATTCAGCATGCAGCAGACGTTCCAATGCGACAATCGCTTACCGTGTCCGTATCTAGACACGCAAATAGCACTCGTACATGTTAACTTGGTGGCTCCCAGCCATCCCCGTAGCTTTTTAGACTTTTAGTGTTTAATGGGGGTTTCCATCTAACCCACCAAAAGTTAAACTTTTAGCAGGGGATCTGAGGGCAGCCCAGTTAACATTCCACCCAAAAGGCTCCGTGTGTAGAGGAACGTCCATTCTGGGGATTGCGGAGTCGATGCTGATCTCGAAGGCTCTCACAGATTGGCATGGGTGGCTTGCCTGGATGTATTGCTCTGTCGTTCTTGGAGTGTATGGAGCCGTGTCCTGAAATGGCGGAATGGTGGTCCTTTGGTTTCCCTTCAAACCAACCCAAAAAGGGTACCATCAAAAGAACACAGACTCAGATGGGTCATTTGCTGGACCTTGTTAGCAAGTTACAATGATTTACGGCAGTGGAAGAGGAATGACAGGCAGTGTTGTGTTGTTTTTTGCGTCACTCAAAAGAATGGATCTAAAAGCAGCTTGAAGATGTTACGTGTGTTTGTATCAAATGTTTCTACATGAGGCGCGGAATCACCGTTCCACGCAGAGACCGGAACTCTCGCAAGCAGAGTCTCCGTATCCTGTTTTGGCCCCTCTTGTGCAATGGAGGGCGCTTTGTTCGCTGAAGCATGTTTCCAGTGCTGGGAACACTGACGTGGCCGGAAGCCACATGTTCGTCGGGGCTGGGTGGAGGGAAGGGGAGGGGGTGGGAGCCCCAAAAAAAAACCTGAATGCACCCTTATTGAGGCCTTATTCAGGGCTTATTTGGGCTCCCCCATGTGCATTCCCAAACTTGCACCGGTGCAAGTTTGGTGATAGACCCGCATGCCTTCTGGCCTCCTCAATGCTCGTGTTTGGTATGATTGTGTATTCTTCTCGTCAAAAAGTGACAGCGTTCTCTGAAGCCATTCTGCAAAGCACAGGACAGCTGCCGCGTCTCGAATATGCATGCATAATTACAGGAGGCTTTGAAAGACAACCCTCCCTTTGGAACCGCCCAAGCTGTCACTTGCATAGGCTTCTTGAGGAAGTTATGCGGGCAACTCAGATCTGATGCCAGGAATCCTGTTCCCTGTGCCTGATGAAATCTGTGATGGTTGTTGTTGTGGCCAGTTGCTTTAGATTTCAGAGGAGACTTGGTTTCCAACAAAATCAGCAGATCTGAACACTCGCAGTGGCGTGTCCTTTGATCCGGAAAACCAACACCGAAGCCCCGCTCAGTTCCCAGCGCCGTGAACGAGACCAACGAGGCGATGGTGGACAATGCCACGGAGCCCTGGCCGCATTCGAAGGCTTTCTTCTCGGACGGGACCCAAAACCCCCGAGGAAACCGCCAGTAACCATATAGTTTGTTTGGCGTGAAGATGTTGGGGCACATTTCTCAGGTACACCTTGATTGGTTTGGATTGGTGATGTTTGGAGATGGATTAATGTCTTCCTAAATTATGGTCAGAGCAAAAATACATGCTCAAAACCAAGCATGCTGGACATCCGAACCCCGGAAGTAGACTAACGATCAGGGAGATGATGTCTGCAAAGCGTTCACCGCGGATTTGTGTTTTGCACACGGAAGGGAACATAAATTGCCACTCGTCAGGTTGCCCTTGCTTGCCGGTTTGGAGTGGTGAGTTGGGTGTGTGTGAACCTATGGTTCTTGTAGAGGGCAAAACAACCTGGACAGAATCCAGCACCAATTGGTAGGTTGTTGTTGATCCGACTAGTCATAGGGTGTCATCCATGTCAACTGCGCAGCGGATTTGTCCAGTATCAGCGGCATTGTGCAGGAAGTCTGAGATGGGTATGGGTTAAACAGTTAAACCATCACAAAAGCGCAGGTTTTAGTCGATGTTGCTACCAGTGTTAGCCCATGTTGACAGCCGGATCACAGGAATTCTCCAGAAGGAAGTCATCCCCGCTGGAAGGGGGCCACCTGAAAGTTTGAAAGGACCACCCCCCAGAAGGACCGTCCTCCGGATTAATGTATTGGACATGGCAAGCCGCTGAATATGATGGGTCTATCGATATGTCGCGTTGGTATCCTGTTGTTTTTCGTTGAAAACCAAAAGTGACCCAGCTCTCCCCAGAAAGCGAGCCATGTGGCCAGTTCGCTCAGGAAATGGAGTGGGATGCAAACAGCTGCTGCCTCAGTGGGCGGGCGAGGCTGAAGCACTCGGATCTTTGTGCGGTGAGGAGTCTCTGCCGCATCATGCGCCTGTACAATAATGTTAACCCCGGATTAATAAACCCCTGGTTGATTCATTGGGGGGTGTCCCCTTTTAGTGGGGATTCAGCACTTTTGGAGGGAATGCCCCCCAAATAATGGGACGGGTTTATTAATCCTGGGTCAACATTGCCCCAACAGTTGCAGTTTAGTCATGATGCGATCATGGTCAAAAAGTCGTGATTCGTCCTGAAGAAACTCGCCCTCTGCAAGTTTTGCATGGGAGGCCCCCAAAAGCGGCGCCCTTGAATGTTCTTTGAGCGATCTCTAGCCGGTTTCATCCTGACTTGGGCTGTAGTCTTGGTTGGGTCGACGGTTCGCTTGGAAAGGAGTCAGCGAAGCACACATGGTGTAATGCCATGCAAGGCCCCGAAACATGCTGCATCAATGCCCAGCCAATGCTGTGAGTCAACAAACATTGCTACAACCTAACATTCGATGCCCCTGCAGATTTGACCCTTGACACTCTGGAAGATGGAGTCCACAGGTTAGCAGTCAAGTTTTGGCTGAGAATCAGGGCGGAGATCCGCCCTTTTTATTTTTTCCAAGTGCTATTTTGGGTAGACATTTTTCATACCAGATTCTCCCTGACAATCCACAGGCCCAGGGTTTCGCTGGTTTGGAATCCACAACCCGCCCAGCGGCTGGATTTGGCTCTGGGTTAAACACATGTACCAAAATGTCGCCTTGGTCAAATGGAACCAAAGACTAAAACCTGCGTAACCCCAGTTGCTTAATTTTGAGCCACCCATTTGTCACTCCTTAGGCAGCCGCACTTTGCAGCACACGGCCGAGCCGTGCCCCCGGGTGGTGGAGGACTATCGCTCCTGCCCGGCGCTCGGGAGTCTGTTTGCGTTTCACCCAGGAGCCTGAGTCAATGCCACCTGAAAACCATTGAAACTACCCTGAAACAGAGATCTTCTCATTTTGGTGGGTATTGTTTTTGTTTTTATGGGTTCTGGTAAGTTTAGCTGCCGTTTGAACCTAGACACATGGATGGCCGATGCGATTCGGCTCGATTCGATTTTTCGATTCGACTAGGGCCGAAGCGATTCGACCGATCCGATTCGACCAGCTTGCAAGGCTCCGGGGGCACAACTGATCGAAGTCTCCAGAAACAGCGTGCTCCCAGATGCGTTTTCCCGGCCCCGAAAAATGCATCTAGACGAGCGGTTGATTTTTAAGGCTCCTAGAAGGAGCATGCTCCCAGATGCGTTTTCCCGGCTCCGAAAAATGTATCTAGACGAGCGGTGGATTCTCAAGGCAGCTCCTAGAAGGAGCATGCTCCCAGATGCGTTTTCCCGGCCCCGAAAAATGCATCTAGACGAGCGGTGGATTCTCAAGGCGGATCCTAGAAGGAGCATGCTCCCAGATGCGTTTTCCCGGCTCCGAAAAATGCATTTGGACAATCCGTGGGTTCTCGAGGCAGCTCCTAGAAGGAGCATGCTCCCAGACGCGTTTTCCCGGCTCCCGAAAAATGCATCTAGACGAGCGGTGGATTCTCAAGGCAGCTCCTAGAAGGAGCATGCTCCCAGATGCGTTTTCCCGGCCCCGAAAAATGCATCTAGACGAGCGGCGGGTTCTCAAGGCAGCTCCTAGAAGGAGCATGCTCCCAGATGCGTTTTCCCGGCTCCGAAAAATGCATTTGGACAATCCGTGGGTTCTCGAGGCAGCTCCTAGAAGGAGCATGCTCCCAGATGCGTTTTCCCGGCTCCGAAAAATGCATCTAGACGAGCGGTGGATCTCAAGGCAGCTCCTAGAAGGAGCATGCTCCCAGATGCGTTTTCCCGGCCCCGAAAAATGCATCTAGACGAGCGGTGGATTCTCAAGGCGGATCCTAGAAGGAGCATGCTCCCAGATGCGTTTTCCCGGCCCCGAAAAATGCATCTAGACGAGCGGCGGGTTCTCAAGGCAGCTCCTAGAAGGAGCATGCTCCCAGATGCGTTTTCCCGGCCCCGAAAAATGCAGCTAGACGAGCGGCGGGTTCTCAAGGCAGCTCCTAGAAGGAGCATGCTCCCAGATGCGTTTTCCCGGCTCCGAAAAATGCATCTAGACGAGCGGTGGATTCTCAAGGCAGCTCCTAGAAGGAGCATGCTCCCAGATGCGTTTTCCCGGCTCCGAAAAATGCATTTGGACAAGCGGTGGGTTCTCAAGGCAGCTCCTAGAAGGAGCGTGCTCCCAGATGCGATTTCCCGGACAAGCGGTGGATTTTCGCGTTTTCCCGGCCCCGATAATGCATCTAGACAAGCGGTGGATTCTCAAGGCAGCTCCTAGACGGAGCACGGTCCCAGATGCGTTTTCCCGGCCCCGAAAAATGCATCTGGACAAGCGGTGGATTTTCAAGGCAGCTCCTAGAAGGTTCCCGGCCCCGAAAAATGCATCTGCAAAAACGCATTTAGACCTCGTGCTGTTTTCGTGCTGGCAGTCGTGTAGTAGTAGTAATACTAGTAGTAGTAGTACTGGTGGTGGTGGTGGTGGTGGTAGCAGTAGTAGTAGTAGTAGTAGTAGTAGTAGTAGTAGTAGTAGTAGTAGTAGTTGCAGAAGTAGTACTAGAAGTGGCAAGCGTAGTAGCTATAGTAGTAGTAGTAATAGAAGTACTAGCAGTAGAAGAAGGAGGAGCAGGGCCCCGCCACTCAGGCCCACCCGGTGGGCAACGACGGGTGACGCATGCGTTTTCCGGACCCGAATAAATGCATCTGTGCGTTTTGGCTGAAACCGAACCGATTCGATTCGATACCGATAGCGATTCGAAACCGGTCGCGAAAGGGGGCCGGCCATCCATGTAGACAACTTTCAGGGTTCAAAGACGCGCTTACTGTACCCAGGGCCAATCGATATAGCCTTTATTGCGGTGCGTGTGCCGGCGTGTGCCAGTGTGGTTTTGATTCTGTCCAAAGGTGTACGTCGGGGTTACATCCGGAGTCCATGTAAAGCAGCGTAAGCAGCATACAGGGAGCATATGATATTGGCGGTTGCAGGGAGAATTGGGGCTGTTGGATGAAGAATTGGTGGGTTCCCTTTGGTTTCAGGGTGAAAAGGGCCTCGACAAAAAACACACCGCCTGGACCAGCGGATTCGCCGTGCGCGCCCCGACTCAGTCCCCGAGCTTGCCGTGTCGGTGGCTTCGGAGGTGCGGGGGTGGGGGGGAGGGGGTAGGGGGGGGCTGGGCCGGTTTCAAAGTCCGAAGTTTTGAGATTGTGGCCTTGGCTGCTGCCTTTGGCAGCTCTTGGCCGCCCTGCATGGGTGTATGGCTTGCGGGACACAGATCGGAGCGACATGAATGGAACCAATGTGGCCATGTTGGGAAACCCGCCCAAATTGATTGGTTTCCTGTTGGTTTCACGAGAAAGACCACCCCAAAAGAATTAAAGATACCTATGGAGACCTGTGGTTTGCAAGGCCACGGCCCCCTGGGAAACACTCTGCAGATTCAGCCATGGCACCCGGAGAAAGAAACACACTCATCAGGTTTCATGGCGGAAGGGTATATGAGTCAACCTTTTGGTGAGACGTGGCAAAAAAAAAGAGAGACCTTTTGGTGCACTTTCTCAAAATGTTTGTGATGTACCCAGTGGCTGTTCGCAGCTTGGCTTGAATCCGGCCGTCGACTTTATCACAAGGATAGAAGGCGGATCTGTCTTTTTTGAGTTGGTACCCCTTTGTAGTCGGTTTTAAAGGGCAGCCAAAAGGATAGCCACAGTTCTTGGGGGTCCAAATCCTACGGCAAGAAAGGGCCCAACCATGCCTCAAGAGCGCACACGCACGACGCAAACAAGCACCAAGACGCACACCCAGATTCACTGCCCTCCAAAACGCCCAGATGGGGAGTCACCCAAAGCTGAAAAGGGAACACTCAAAGAGTACAATTGCAGATGCCAACTCAAGATACTCCCCTACAGACTAACATGGAAGGAACCCCAGCTAAAAAAAGCAGTTGTAGGAACGGAAACTCCTGAAAGAGAAGTGAACCCCCCCGTGAACGGGTGGGCGGGTTCCTTTCGTTCATGTGTAGACGTTGACAGGGGGTTCCTCTTCTTGATTTCGAGGGACGTTGCATTCGCCTACTGAGCCACAAATCAATACCTGATGGAGGTTAGGGATGACCAAAAATGGGTGCGGCTGCTTTGTGAATTCTCATGGTTCTGGGTAATTGCCTGGACCCTCAAACTACCCAAAAGGGGACTCGCTCAGAATTGGGTTGCCACAGCCCATTCCAGAGGTCGTTATTTTGACTGTTTTTTGGGGGGTATGAAAGTCAGAAACTGGGGTTGTTTCCCTTTACCCCACCACTTCGGGGTGACTTTGATCATGGTAAAGTAATGAGGCCAGCATTCTTACGGTAGTTTGAGAGTCCAGGCACACCATGTGGGTGTGGGTCAAAAATAGGTACCCAAAAAGGAACCCAGGTAAATGGAAACAAGGACTAAAGCCTGCGGTCCCCTGGCGGTATAATTAATTTTGACCCATACCCATTTGAATACCGATCGGTTTGAATACAACGACTCGGGTAGGAGATCTTCAGCGAGAACCTCGCCGGCTTCCAGAGCCACTTGGCAACGTTCTTCAGTCAAGTGATGCTCAGGGGTTGATTCCTTTTCCATTCTTTTCAACCATCGTTCTTCTCAAAAACCATCTGTTTCTCAGGGTTTTTGGTGGTTGTTTTTGAAGGATCCCTGGAAAGAATGGGGAAGGTGCCCCTAGAAATGCGCTGGGTGTGGCTTACGTGTCGTTTGGGGGCCTGTTGGATTTGTCGAACCGATAGCCCCCTTTTGAGTACCAAGCAGCCAGAGAAAAAGGTTGCTAGCCCGACAAGGGTTATGAGCCCAAGGACGTAGATCCTCTTAGCTGGGCAATGGATGCCGGAATGCGGAGGAGGCGGGCCCGCAGCGTGGATGCTGGGATGGGCATCGTGGTGGCGGAGGCCGAGGGCGAGCTGGAGGAGGTGCCGCCACACGCTGGGGAAGCACAAGGACGGCGGGTGGAAGTAAACCCGTTCTGGAGTCAACGCGCGCGAGATGAAGCGGCGCTGAAGGCGAGCCGACCGAGCGGGCTGCCTCCGGTGCCGGGGACAGATGAGAAGCTGGCCGAAGAAGAAGATCTTCAAGAAGGACCTGGCCCGGATGGTGGACTGCTCGGATGGGGTGATCGTCAGAACGGTGAGCACCCGGAGGCGGTCTCCAGCCGGGGGAATGAGGAGTTCTGGAGCGACGTGAAGAGGGACCTCTTGGCCGACCTTGAGGGAGCATCCGTCGCACCTGGTGGAGGTGTTCCTCGCCCGGATGATGTCCGTGAACCCGGGCTGGATGATCGAGATCGGCGACCTGGAGGAGGTCGTGGGAACGAAGGTGGAGGGCTGCCACATGGGAATGATGGTGGACTTCAACGAGGAGAGGATGATCGGCTTGGTGAAGGCCGTGGAGAGCCCAGTAGAGGTGTGGAGGGATATGGATCCATGCGTGGCAGACCGATGGGCCGAGAAGGTGATCTTGGGGGGCCTCGGATGGTGGATGCCCGAGCACTATGGAGAGGTGCAGAACGTGAAGGGCAAGGAGATCGGCAGGCTCGTCAGCCAGGTGAAGAACATGGCGGTCGGAGAGATCAACAAGAGCGCCGTCCTGGAGGAGAACGAGACGGGCAAGGCGATCGACAAGCTGGACAGCCTGGTGAAGGGCAAGGAGAGCGGCCGGTCCCGAGGCCGAGTGATGGAAGAAGGCTACAACAGGTACCTGAGCATCGGCAAGATCAGGTTGGGCGAGGCCGAGAACAACGAGAAGTTGAAGATGGGTGGGATGCGGCAGTAAGGAAGTCCGGGATTCTTGGCGGAGGTCGAGAACAGGCTGGTGCTGCGGGAAGCAGCGGAGAGGAAGCCAGGAGGTGGACCTGGGGTAGCCGCGGTCTGGATCTGGATTGGGCTTGGAATGACGAGCTCAAGGTATGGATTCCGGAGAAGGCTCAGCGCCCAAACGATGAGGAGGAGCTGATCGGCGAGATGGACCTGGCTGAGGAAATGGAGAGGAACTACGGCCGGGCGTGCAAGAAGCTGGTCGGCATGGAGAAACAGCGGAAGCACCTCTTCGGCGTGATCAAGGAGCTGAGAGGAGAGGTCAGGAAGACGCAGGAGAAGGCTCAGTTCTGGAAGGAACAGTATGAGCAAGCGGTTCGTGACCAGCATGTGGAGCCGGAAAGGTTTGAGACGCCGGTGGAGGAGATGTTTGTCACCCCGATGGCACAAGCGATTGTTCCCCGGATTGTGGCCCCGGTACCACCGCCACCGCCACCGCCACCAAGGCCGGTGGAAGTTCTTGCAGCGAGGACGGCCAGTACCCCGAGAGCAAGGACTCGGTCGCCTGCATGGAGGTGTACCCCGGGTGGAACTCAGGTGCCGGAAGGAGAACCGCCGAGGACGGAAGATGCTGACACAGGCTGGGAGGCAAGGTGGGATCAGCAACCACGTGGAGGATGGTACAGGAACTGGAGCGGCGTGTGGGGCTCCTGGGATGACTGGGAGCAGAACACAAAGGCGGAGGCGAAGCCGCTGGACCAGATCGAGACGGGAGGAGCAGGGGCGAAGGTGGAACTGCCGGAGCTGGCGTATGATCATTCCCCATTGACGTTGGGGGATTGGTTCGCGGTGGTGGGGCCCCAGATGCAGGATCTTTCCCAAGGAGCGGCTGAGTGGTGGATGGGCACAATGGAAGAGGCGAAGAAGCTCTATGAGGTTTGGCTGAGGAGCACTCCCCTGGACCGGCTCAAGATCACGGTCGGGATCCCGGAGGCTCTCAGAACTGCCAGGTTCGTGCGGACGGAGCAGCGTGGGGTCACCATGCTGCTGCGGGCAATTCCGGAGGAGATCCGCAAGGAGTTGATCTCGGCAAGGGACATTAGCAGCACGGGGGTGCTGTACAGGCTGTTGGTGACCTATCAGCCTGGTGGTCCTGGAGAACGGTCCTTGATCCTCAGGAAGCTCACGGACTTGGGCCAGATGAGGACGGTTGCAGAAGCAGCAGTCGCTTTGAGAGAATGGAGGAGGTATTACCTGAGAGCGCAGGAGATTGGAGCCTCGCTCCCAGACCCTACGCTTCTGGCGGCGGCATTGGAGAAGGTGACGCAGCTGGTGAATCGCGGAGGGCCGCAAGCCTTTCGGGTTGCCCAAGCGCGGACGCAGTTGGGGCTAGATACCACGCCCACGGTGCAAGGCATTTGGAACTACTCGGAGCTGCTGCTTGCGGAGATGGACACGGCGAGGCTGATGGCGGTGGAACCGGCCAGGGTAAAGGCAATGGTCGCCGGCACCACAGCGGACAGGCCCACTCCGGACCATGCGAAAAAGGAGATGGGTACGGCAGTGTGCAGGTACTTTGGTCGCTTGGGAAAAGGGTGCAAGTGGAATCACGACTGGGAGACAGTCGGAGATCGGAATGCACGGTGCTGGATCTGTGGGTCGAAGCAGCACCGACGACCAGATTGTCCGGTGAAAGGTGGAGGAAAGGGCCAGCCAGCGAAGCCGGTGGTCAAAGCTGCAGCGCACGAGCCGAGAGACGGCTCGGGGGGAGGTGGTGCAGCTGGCAGTGGTGGAAGCGGTCCGGCAGGAGCAAGCGCAGGCGCAGGAGCGAGTGGGTGGACTGCAGGAGGATCTGAAAAGATCGAGAAAGCGGAGGTGGTGGAGGCCACGGCATGGACGGCGACATCTACAGGTGGTGGAACGGGGGAGCTGTTGGCTGAGGCAACACAGCTTCTTAGGTCGATGAGGGCTCCATCCGCGAAGTCAATGGTGGTGATCAAGGAGATGAACACGGTGGTGATCAACAAGGGCCTGCTAGACGGGGGAGCAACTCATGCACTGCGGAAGTGCAAGGACCTGGAGGAGTGGGAAGCCGCAATGCCGACAAAGGTGATCCTGGCGGAAGGAACCACTTCGAAGATGAGGTTGAAGGAGGGAACCCTCACGCTGATCACGCAGGAGGACATCCAGCCGATCGTGCCCATGGGCGTCTTGACCATGATGGGGTACGAAGTGGAGTGGAAGCAGGGACACTGCAAGGTTCGGCGGAGCAAAAGCCTGGAGGTGGAAATGGTAGACAGTTGCCCCATGGTGGAGGTCGAGATCGCATTGGGCCTCATCGAGGAAATGGAGCTCATGGAAGAGAACCACATGCTGCGGTTGGCGGCGATGAAGATGCCGATGGAGCAGTTGAAGGACAGACCGGAGCTGGCCATGACCAAGGCACTGAAGGAATTCTTTCCGGGGGTGCCGGATGAGATCGTGAGCCGGGTGATGCCCAGCATGGAGGTGGATGGGGACGAGCTGCCCTGGAATAGGAGAAGGAGGCGGACATTCGAACGGGCGGAGCACCTCGTTATCCACTTGTTTGCGGGTGCGAATGAGAAGGAGTGGATGGATGGCCTGGAAGGGCAGGGAGTTGCGGTGGTATGCGTGGACACAGCCATCGATCCGGGTCAGGACCTTCATAGGCCGCAGGTGTTTGCCTACTTGTTGAAGTTGGCCAGGACGGGCAAGGTCAAGGCAATCCTGGGCGGTCCACCGTGCAGGACGGTCTCGGCCTGCAGAACGAGGAGTCCCGGGCCAAGGCCGGTGAGGTCGGTGGAGGAGCCCTACGGCAAGAAGGGACTGAACCAATACGAGAAGGAGTTGGTCGATGGGGATGCGGTGCTATGGCTGAGGATGCTCACACTGCATGTGGTGGCGCAGGCATCGACGGAGGACAAGGTCCTGTTCGTGAAGGAGCAGCCACGAGATCCTGGAGAATACCGGGATGATGGCAACCCGGACTATGTCAGCGTGTGGAGGTTTCAGGAATGGAAGACCTTTGAGCAGAAGTACGGCATGCACCTGGTTCGATGTGACCAAGGAGCACTGGGCCATCGGAGGCGGAAACCGACGACGATCGGGGTGAACGCGCCGTACCTGGACCATCTGGATGGATTGGGGGGCCCAGGCACGGGGGAGGAGGAATGGACTGGAAGCCTTGAGGAGCGAATCCAGCAGACGAAGTCATGGGCGTGTTGGGCGCCGGGTTTGAAGATGGAGATCATGAAGGCGGTGAGGATGCATTTGAAGATGCAGCCGCAGCTGAAGCCGGTGCGGGTGGACGAGCTGCAGAGATGGAAGACGCACTTCCTCAACGACCACATGCCGGCGAGAAGGGATTGCAAAACGTGTGTGCAAGCCCAGGGACGGGGGAGACCGCACGTGAGGGTCACTCACCCGGATGCATACACCTTGGCGGTGGACCTCTCCGGGAAGCTCAAGGAGGGCGTCGACCACAAAGGAAAGGTGGCGTACTTCTTGGTGGGTGTGTACACGTACCCGGTGGACATGAAGGGGAGGTCATTGGTGCGTGAAGAGGAGGAACATCCGCTTCCTGCAGAAGATGACCTACTACCGGAGGCGGACGAGGAGATGGAACCACTGGAGGTAAGGGAAGATGAGGAGGTGGTAGCAGAGGAAAGAGAGAACGAAAAGGACGTTGGTGACCTGGAAAAGTGGAAGAAGATGGTGCAAGAGGCGGCGAGCTTCAAGGTCA